CAAGGTACTTCACTTCTGTACAGTTGTAACTTTTTAGGTCAGAGTATCTGCCATGCTGCAGTGTGTCTGTTGTTGCTGTTGGCACCATAGGATCGATGTGTAGGAGTGGGAGCTAGCAGATTGTCTGGATTGGCAAACACAGCCGGAGACTTGGAGTTAGGAATATGTAGGAAGGCTTGGCAGTATGGCTGTGATGCAAGGTTTACAGGATCGGTCTTGTTTTAACTGGAGCTTTGAGATTATGTCCTACGTTTAACTTAAACCTACCATTTATGTCGCAACCTCATTAAGAGATCTTTCCGATTTGCAGTAAGCATGTAATAAAAAGGAAAAATGGAAACAATTACTTTGGAAAAACTAGACTGTTGTTAATTCTAGGAGAATTACTTTTCTTTATGTTTAATAACATCTTGCAAAGGGGAAAAGCTTCCTTTCTGAGAAGAGTCTCTTGTTGGAATTTTGGCTTCCTGGTGATCTAAAATCATGCTTATGCTTATGACTTCTCTTATTTGTTGATTACGAAAGTTTTAGGCTATTGCTCATGTTCATTAATATCTCAAATCTTTGATTTGTGTCTCAGAAACATCAGAATTTTCAGATTTTTCCTGCTAGTGTAGTTATCTCCATGATGCCTGTGAAGAGGAAGCTGTCAGGATTAAAAACTTGGCATCTCTGCCTCTTTGCAGGAGACCAGCCTGGAGCAGATCTAGGGCCTCTAATCAGTCCCCAAGCTAAGGAGCGGGTTTGCCATCTGATTGAGAAAGGAGTAAAAGAAGGTGCCAGCCTTCTTCTGGATGGACGTAATATCAAAGTGAAGGGCTATGAAAATGGCAATTTTGTTGGGCCAACGATCCTTGCCAATGTCAAGGTAAGATGACCAAAGCCAGTGCTTGATAGTGTATATTGCAGGGTCAGTTGAAAAACGTGTTACCCAAATCAGTCAGTAATCAATAATCACCATGTAGAAATCCCATAAATGGCTCAGCCTTCCCTTGCACAACTCCAGTGAAGTGCTTATTGTAATGCTGTTGTGGAGGTGATAAATGAATTTGCAGTAGTGCAACATACTCTGAAGGAGGTTAATAAGCTTAACTTGAATGGATTGCAGCCAATTAAATATATGAGCAGCTTGTACTGTGTTAAACTAAATGTTCATCGAGCACAGTGTACTATCTGTAGTAATGGCCAGCAGATGCCCAAGGAAGAGTATGATGAACAGCCAAACTTGCAATTTTCCTTCCTCTGTTATACATTCCTGCAGTTTGCAATTTAAGGACTTGCAGAAACAGACGCTAAATATTTGTGGAAATCTTCACAATAATCATATAGGATAAGGTACAAAATCTCTTTATTGTTGAATATGTTCACAACTTCCTTGAGTCAGCCCCTCAATATAATGCATGGTGCGCAACAGATGGAAACTACTGTGGGGGAATATTCTTTACCAGGTACACATCCACATGAGTCTTCATAACTAAATTCATTCTTTTATGTTTATGCAATTAGCTGGTATGATTTCCTTAATATTTAAGTGTTCAATTCCTCGTGGGCCTTTTGATGAGTGATTCCATGATAGCAAACCCATCTTGATAATTCTGCTGTTGTACTTTGTGTTCTTAGGATTTTATTGATTTTGTGCAATTATATAATTCAGGCTTTTAATCTATCTCAGAATTTTCTTGCCTTACTTTCATTAAATATCTTAAAATACTTCACTTGCCTGTGATGTGTCATAAATATTGTTAGATATTCAAAAGCTAAAGTTTCAGTGAGATTTTGTGTTTTCTTATACAGTGGTTAATAATACAGTAAGCCACGTAAAACTTACAACTTGTCAAATGAATGTTTTATAGTTTTCTGTATTAGCTATTAGTGATTAAAGTACTCTCCAACTGGTGTTCTGGTATTCGCCAGATGTTACTAATTATCAGACATAAGTCCTGGATGCTGAGTTGGAAAGGATAGCAGGTTCTAGTCACTTCGTCAATAAGAACTGAAGTAAACTATGCTGAATTAATCCCAGTCTTAATCAGCCTTGGTCAGAGTAGACCTGTGAGTGAGGTTAGGCAGGCAGTAAGAGCAGAAAGCGCTCTGGAGGTGACGTGGTACCCTCTTTAGTGGACTGGGCAGATGGGAGGGCATGGGAAACGGTGAAAAGGCAGGAAGGATTGAGGGATGGCCTGTGACAATGCAGTATATGATGTGTGATTCTAGGAATACCCTGAGCTTTAGCAGCATGTGTGTTTATTATATCCTGTTTACTAGGATATTTTTATTATAGCCTGTTTATTATATCCTACATACAAGCTGCTTTTTCTGCTGTTTGTCTTGGCAGCCAACCATGACTTGCTACAAGGAGGAAATCTTTGGGCCCGTCTTAGTGGTTCTGGAAGCAGACACTTTGGATGATGCCATTGAGATGGTGAACAATAACCCCTATGGAAATGGAACTGCAATCTTCACCACCAATGGAGCCACAGCTCGGAAATATTCTCACTTAGTAGATGTGGGGCAGGTATGTTCAAGCCAGGATTGTTGCTATTAGTACTCACCACTTACAGTGGGTAGCCATGCAGCTGCAGTGACTAGTCGCTGACTGCTCAGCCAACAGTACCCAGCCTCAGGTTTAAGGAAACAAAATGAAGTAGTGTTTGGAAAGTGCTCTGCAATCTGCTACTTTTTCATGATTAATATGGCAGCTTTCCTTCACTTTAGGTGGGTGTCAATGTTCCTATCCCAGTACCTCTGCCCATGTTCTCTTTCACCGGCTCTCGTGCTTCTTTCAGAGGGGACACCAATTTCTACGGCAAGCAGGTAACTTACTGATTCAGAGTACTCTGTTGGGTTGAATTGTGATAAGTCACATTATAAATGGCAATAGGGAGATGGTCATCAGACCTCATTAGTAAGGAGACTTTGAAGCCGTCTCAATCAGGAAACTGAAGACCAGCCAGTAATCACAGCCACCATCATGCACGTTACAATAGCCAATTCCTTTTTTTTTTTCTTTTAAATATAAAAAACCGAGTCTTTTGCTAGGAGTTTTGAGAATGGAGGAAGAACTAAGTATCAAGCTTTCTCACAGAATCAGAATCTTTGGGGAATTGGTAAAAGGAACAGGCTGACAGGAATTGTTCCTGCAGAGGAAAACTCAACCCTCTGTAGATAAAGTAAAAACTGTTTGATATACCATTAGTGCAGACCTGAAGAATTCATAAGGCCAAACATTTGATCCATGTGTCTCCTTTCCTCCAGGGAGTACAGTTCTACACACAGCTGAAAACTATAATTTCTCAATGGAAAGAGGAAGATGCTACCGTAACCAAACCTGCTGTGGTTATGCCAACTATGGGAAACTAAATCAGCCTTTGCAGATTTTGTTCCTGGTGCCCTTCGCCTACTATGTTGCACTTCCAGCTTTGTCCTGACTATCATAATTTCCATGGGAATGAATAGAAAGCTCCATTTTCTCAAGGACCTCTGTTTCTATGTAGATCAGGCAGGCTCTTGTAACGCACAGTCTGGGTTTTCAGTTGCTGTCAGTGCTTTTTGGCTAGCTGAACTAATTTTTTTTTTTTCCTACAACCTATCACAGATGAAACAACCTTAATCTAGTTGAAAGGGTAGACAGTGAGATTGGTCTTAGTTTGTGTTTCTTTCCAGACCCTCTGAACTTGAACATTACTCCAGTTTCCACTTTAATATCTTTAGCCTTAGTGACTCACTCCTGGCTACATCTCGTAGCAGTTTTCTTTACCTCTTTATCTTACATGTTAAGATTTTGACTTCACCTTACTCAAAGTTGAGTACTTATTTTGAGTGGTATAACTGACTGGGACTTTGGATGTCTCATAGAAGTGACTTGACATACAATGAAGACAGCCAGTTTGGGAGTTGAATATGTCAAGTCTTTCATCTGTTCAGCAGTTTCCAAAACACTTGGGAAATAGTGTTCTAAGGATTTTTCAGGAAAGAACGGGCTGCCTGGTGAAGAAAGAAATTCTTTTATGGTACAGTGACCTTCACCATGCCTCTGACAGCTTGAAAACTTCTGTCCCTGTTGTGCATCTGGCTTGTATTCTCCAGGTTGACATTGATTCCGTTATACCTGAAAGCTGTTTGGTGCCTTTTTACTGTGCTAACAAATACGTGCCTACAGGTCCCATAACATAATGAAACTGTGGAAGCAGAAACATAAGCGTGTATGTGTATCTTCATGTCACAGCATCATGTGGCTCTGGGTGGAAGACAGAATAGACAGGTCAGTAGGAAGCAAGAACACTTTTTTAAATCACAGAGCAGCTAGGCCTGTTCTGTTGGTTTCTTTTCCCAGCTATAGCTGCATTTCTTGTGTTGATTGATTGACTCCTTGTCACGTTTGCTCAAACATAGTCCTGTTCTCCAGAGACAGCAGGTCCCATTACTATAGAAGGGTAAGATTTGAAATACCCTGTTTTTAAGAATCTGGGCATTTGGATCTGGAGAGCCTCTATTTTTATTCCTGGTTCCTGGATGATGATGCAGCCATGAGGGATCTGCAGAGAATTCAAGCACCCATGGAAAATATTACTATTCTAATGATTGTAACCATTACTCGTTCTAATTAAACCATCTGAATGTGAACACTTTGTATCCTGCCTTCTGCTGAAGATACCTTGTAACTGACAGCTATGTATTGGTGCAATTGCTGTGCATTCACTAATGTTTGTACCTCGTTTTTTTCCTCTGCTATACCCTAGAGGGAAATTCTCACCTTGCAATTTGATCACAAATTAAAATCATACTAATACATTTCTGCAGAATATGACCATTCCTTGGTAAGACATTATATAGGTGTGATGTTGACTTTATTCCGCTCCTTGCAGAGGCTGGTCTGTGACTCTCTAACCCACGCATCCATCTTCCTTTTACAGTGTTTCAAGGACCTCTGTACAAATACAGCATTTCAAGGAATGCCTTGTTTCTGTTCCATATACACATCGTTTGATCGCAAAACCTCGTAAGCTTCACGCAACTTACTTTATTACAAACTGAAAATATATCTTGATCAAATCAAGGCAACACCTATATACAGAGTTCTAACAACTAGTCTGAATCCTAGTGCTTTCTACAGGGTCCTCCAAGCTCCTGGCTTGGGAAAGAATAAAATCTTTAAGAAGGAGGAAAATAACTATATTTCAGATATATTTCAAACATGTAGTCAACGCAGCAGTGCAGCAGATGGGATTTAGAATTAGCAGCTTTGCTCACAAGATAACTTCCAAAATGAAAAGTGCAGATGAGTCAGTAATTACCGAGGCTGTTGTTCATGCAGAGTGTACAGCTGCCTTACTCTGTGGTGTTAACATCTGAATATGCAGAAAGATTACTGCAGAAGATGATGAATCTGATAATCCAACCTGCTGTGTAATGAATATTAGGTTGGGAGAAGCATTTTTCTTTGCAAAGGTAAGATGTTCTAGGTAAATCACCATTAAGACACTGGCATTCATTCATGCACCTGGGAAAGGAATACTAATTAACAGCCTCTAATATTGTCTACAGTCATTCACTTTCAAAACACCTTAATTTTCTTCTTAATTAGTATTGCTATTCTGACTTTTCTGTTGTCCTATTAAAACCCATTACACATCTTGCCTTTAGAAATTCTAAAACCTACCTTCTCCTGTAACAAAAGCAATCTTTATTATCAAGCTTACTTGCTCCCTGAAGAATTCCAGGAGTATCCCTGCACTTTCTTCAGACCTATTCTAGACACTTGTATAATCTCTTCATTTGTGTGCAAGCATCTTTTCTGATTATCTGTATTTCCAACAGCATTTTTTAAACAGATGGGTTTAAATTTTGTACTAGAAATCTAAATCTTGTATCTGCCTTTTTTAATGAAATGCCTTTTTAGATCAAGCTGCGGATGTACCTGCCTCATCTCACTGCTGTTAGTTTTCCACCCACTTGTTTATTCTTTTTATTTCAGCACTCACTATTAAAAATTAAGCTAAAGAATATATCTTCTTTTTATATTATACAAAAATATAATCTCAGTATAAAGTCTCTCATGAATTTCTTTAGATGCTATTCAAATACAGTTTTATAGTCAACCTTCTGTCTCCTATTAAAAATTGTTTCTTGCCTCGAAGGTACTGCAGTCTAAATTGTCAAAGCTGTTTGATACTCTTTAAATCCAAAACTTTTGTTAAAACAGTTTAAGCACCTTTGAGAATTAGGGCCTGTGGCTTCCACGTCTGTTTTTTTTCTGTCTGTGAAAAAAAAAAAAAAAGGCAACAACTCACTTCTACTCCCATTTCTGGAGTGGCAGTCTGCCCCTCCAAAGGAGGTGTCTCTCTTCCCATGTAGATCTCTACAGGTCTGCTTATGAACTTTATCTGATTGTTTGATGCCCGAGTATTACATTTTGGTTTGTGTGCTTGACTGCTTCATGTCTGACATGATGGCATGCCAGAACTCCTCCCTACTTACTCCTGCAGGGTAAGTTGATACTGCTTGCCTTTGAGTGTTATAATTAGCTATATGGTTATATCTGAAAATCAGGCATGTGAATCGTCACTCCAGTCCATTCTCTCTAAGTGATTCTATACTGAATGCAACATCAACTTAATAGATTTTGCCTTTTAGTCAAAACTCACTGGGCTAGCTGAAAATGCATCTCCTTATCTGATCGTGGCCTTTCAAAAAAGAATCCTCAAAAAAATCATAAAGCTGCTTTTCAGTAAGAGGAGGCTTTAAGGAGGCGTGAGATTTTTTTCATGAGAGCTAAGTCTAAATGCCTGCTGCTAAAAGATAACATGACCAGATATTTCAGAATAATCCCTCTCTCGTGACACATACATTTATTTGTGTATAGACACACTAATGCAGATCTTCAAACAGACTAAACCATTCTAAAGTAGAAGGGATGACAGAGGTAATTGCATTAATTTATATATAACCAGGACTGAGAAGATGTTAGACAGTGTGGTATAATTGACTATCTTACCCAATTTTGCTTTCTTCTTTAGTGTTGTCAGGACCTGGAGCTGAAGTAGCCAAAACGCTGGTGTGTTTCCTGTGAGGAAGACACAAGAGCAAAGTAATCCTCATCTAATGGTGATTTACGCTCAGCTGGATTTCTAATTCCACACCAAACTTGTTTTCTAAAATAAACAGGAAAAGAAATGCCAGGGCACCTGAGCTATTGCAGTACACTCTAAAATCAGCACTATGAATCAAACATGAGTTCAGTACACTATGGAATTCTGTATTTTGTGGCAAAATCATTACATTTAAAAGGGAGTGAGGAGAAATGAATAAAAACCAGTTTGTTTTAAAAACTGGGTTTGATCATAAGTCAAACTGAAGTGTTTGTATTCCATCCTTCAAACTTTCATACTCTTCAGCCATATGTGTGCTGTTGGATGTTGGTAAATATACATGGGGAGTGCTACTGTCACAATATACATTATTTGCTTGTTTGGTAAAGATGGATAGGGATTCATTAATGACTGAACAAAATTAATCCCACTGCACTGAACGAAGTTAATTCTTCTCACTTCTCTCTTTCTCAGTACTACTAAAATTTACTTACATTTGCTTTTCTCTTGATGCTACACACAAAGATCTAACAGTACAGTCTGGTGCATGTCCAAAATCAAGTCTATACTGTATCAACGTTTTCAAAAAGTTAAATCACCTTTTTCAAAAGGTTAAAGGATCTCATACCAAGACACACAGCTAGATTCTTACGTTAGACTCAGTTTCTTGGAATCCCCTGACCTAGAGTTATCCAGCTCCTGTAAGAGGGAAAGTTCAGCATTCACCTACTGGAGAAACAGAATCTTACTGTGGGTTTGTGCTATTCATTTTGGCAAAAAGCAATCGCAGAACACGTTCTTTTTGTTCCCATGTCAACTCACTGATATCCACTTTTTCAAACTGTATTTTATCCCTGAAAAACACAGAAAAGATCAATGTATTAGAAGAAAATTTGAAATGCGTATCTCTCATGGACTCTGTATGTGTAAAACAGGTTTTAAATTCTAGATCTGCATTATTCTTGCTCAGCTATTCATAGCGTGTAAATTGAACAAACAGATCTGAGCACACAGTGCTGTATTTTCGACTTATAAATCTATGGCTCTCTAAAGAGCCATAGAACAAAGCCAATCATTTCTGTTATACATGTAGTGGTTATAAATACTGGGAGGGGGTTAATACAACATCTCAAGTACATTGTCCTTCCCTTGCTTCTCCTGTTCATACTTAAAGGGTCAACACATGTAACCAATTTTCATTCTCAGTTCCAGTCTTCCCCTTCTCTTGCTCCAAGGAGAAACTTCCTTAGATCTCAATAACTACTTTCACCTCTGATTTTTCATGAAGTGTTTCTGCGCTATTGAGATAACCTGAACTGAACAAAGCATTCTGACTGATTATGTGTTGCCACGTTATTCAATAGCCAGTGCATACTAAGCAAACATTTTATTTGGGAATAGGGTAATTTGGTCTCTCACTAAAGATGTACATAAGCTTCATCTATGGAGGACCTTAACTCTATGGCTTAAAAATCCAACTGCCTGGACAGTGCTGCAGTTCATAGGCACAGATCTCTAGCAGGGGGTGGGAGACCTGTAATCCTGGCCACTGCAGCATGTGTAGCTCTAATTCAAATTAAGCTGCATCCTAATACAAATTCTGAGATACTCACACTTATAAATCTGAGATTTTGTTTTATTCACTATAAAATGTAAGCCAGTCAGTCAGTACTGCACTGCATGTGCGCTTGTTTTTGATATGTCAATGTCTATTTCATGTAATGGCTTAAGTTTTAGATTACTACAGAGCTTGAGGAAAACAGCCTTTGACAGCACAATGCAAAGCAGGGGCTTCTGACTTGTGAAAGAATGGCTGAAAAAAGACTGGATTTGCCATCTGCTGGATGTTTCTGTTAAAATGAGCAGCAACATAGCAAAGAGCTGTTAGCATCTTAATTGTAATTTTTTGGCTTCAGTGTTGTTAGCTCACTGGACTGAGTAAAAAGCAAAAGAACAATATCAGAAGAGCAATGCCTATAAAACCAAAAATATTAGAAAAGTAACAATAACTATTAAAAACTCTGTAATTATAAAAAAAACCTGCAGAAGCATGGCTATACTGAAAGTTCTATATCAAATTCCACAGCACATTGCAGAATATGCAAAAAGCTCTTTCAAGCTTATCTTTAATCCATAAAAATAATCACCAAAAAGTGATAGCCTCGTTGAAATTAGATGCCCACAAAGTCATTACTAACCGATGGGATATTACACCTCATACAGTTACTCTTACTACAGAAGCCTCCACAACCATTCCAAATCTAGACAGGATTATCACATAAAGGCTTTTTTAGATGTGCTAGGAAGATAGACATGAATTTTTAACGTTTCAATACCAGTAGCATTTCTGTGCTTCCTCTAGGTCTCTGTACACACTATTTGTGCTATTTATGTTGCTTTTGAAAGTTTTGATTTTGGGAAATTCTTCCTTCCCTGCACATGCCTCCATCATTTTCCTGTAATAGGCAGTTTGGGCCTTTCTCTTATAGTCCTTCCTACTGGATATGATCTCCTGCTTCACATGTTCCAGAGCATCTAGGAAGAACCTTTCCACCTCAGTCCTCTCATTTAGGATATTCCAGGCTAGTTTCTTCACTCGATTCATCTCCCGATCCTTCATTTCTAGTAATTGCTGCAGTTTCTTGATCTCCATCATGCTTGCCTGGTTTTCTATCAGTGCCTGATGCTGTTTTTTCTGAGTCTCTCTCACAGATCCTCTGGGCGTGTGACATAAGGCCATCTCCAGCTTTTTCACTTTATGCTGCAGATCTCCAATTTGTGCTTTCTGGCGATTGATCTGTAGCATCTTTTTTCGAATCAAACCCTCATTGGTTTCCTAAAAGATGATAATAAATTATTTGGGATTTTATTTAATTTGCACCAAATCTGAAGGTTGCTTTTTTTCCCCCCCAAAAAACGATACGGTAGTAAACATGCTGGCACCTTCACACTGGAGTGAACATTTCTCTGGGATCAGAGTTTTGTTTACAAGAGAAGCCAGATAAAAAAGGCTTGGTATGTAGTATACATTACAGAGGGATCTATTCTCAGTGGGCTAGCGTAGGAAACCCTCCTTTCTTTCTCCACCATAATTAAGATAGAATAAGAGCTTGTCTTCAGACAACTCTGAATTCAGTAACTGTGGAGACATCTGACCGGGAAGAGGTTGGTCTCAATAAATTTACATCTGTATATAGGTGTACCCCTTCCTGGAGGAGAATGAAACAGAATTAAAACCAGAGCAGAAACCTTCTCCTTTAACAGAAGAGTTCTGTCTTCTTCTAACTTCTGTTTGATTTTCTTCAATTCTATTGTCTCTTTCAGCTGGTAAGCAAATGCATTGCGAAGATGAACATTCTCCTTCAACACCTCTCTTCCGGTGCTGTTCAGCTGCCTGGACAGAGGGAAACAAAATCCAAAAGCTTTAATCACAAACTTTCTTGGTTGCTTTATGTTGAAATCAATATTTCAGTGTCCTGATTTCAGAGCTAAGCTGTAAAATCCTTACAGGTTTGTACCAAGTTTTCATAGCTTTGCTTCTAGTCTTACATCTGGACTGGGAAAATGAAAGTAACAGCAGTGCCATTGTGATAATATTAACTCCAGTTCTCCCCTGGAACCAGCATGGGTCTTACAGTTTAAATGTAAGTGCTGGTATGTTCTTGACATTTGAAATATAAAAACAGCCTAGGTCGTCACTGATTTTGCCCTTCAAAGTCCATGTAGTAACATGGGCAACTTGTTATTTAGAACACAGTGCTAAAATGGTTTTGTAAAGTAGAAAATGGGAAAAGCAAGTGTTTCTTACAGAACAGCCTCACACTGGGCGGTCTCTGCCATCATTATTTGCTTTTTCTCAACATCTTCTTCCAGTCTTTTCTGAAACGGAGAAAAGCCTGTTTAAATTTTACATGAGACCTGTGTCACCAAAGCTAAAACCTGAAACAGTGTAAATTTTATAATCACACCCACAGTTTTCAGCTCACCCAACTTCCTGCTAGAGGAAGAATGAACCCCCCAGGGCACAGAAGTTCCTGATGGAAGTGGAAAATACAGACTTTCTGGGATCCTGACATGCCATGTTTTTCCTTGGAAAGCTGCATCTAGCCTCCAACTCATTCATCATACTTGTATTGACACAGGAAATTGTAAAATGCTCAGTAAAGAACCGTGAAAAATATATAAAACTAGAGTAGTCAGTGGGAAAAATAATTTTGTTCTAATGAAAGTTTCTTTAACTGCCTGCCAGTCTTTACTTTTTCTTTAAGAAAACTCCTCTCCAATCTCACAACCACTTCCTGATGTCACCTGTTTGAAATCTCCATACTTTAACTATGGTAAAGAATAAAATTTCTTTAATAACGGTGTTTTATTTCAGCCATATAACTAAAAGTGTGGAGGTTCTCTTCAAGAAGGGCTTTGGTAGTCTTTTCTGGAACTACCCAGAGTTTTCATCACATTTTTACACAATCTATAAAATTCACTTAACCTTCTGACTTGTATCATTGCTTTGCTTCCACCTCATAGTTCATCTGTGCCCGTATTTTCACATCACTGACAGTCATTCACACACACTCACACTGTTTAATGCTTAGTTTTAGAAATATGCTTTGCTTTGTCTATTCAGTCATCAGGATCATTCGAAGTCCAACACTTAAAGCACTCTTGGAAAAATGCCTAACGCATATTTAATATCTTAGCTTAAAAGTGGCTATATATTAATAATCAAAATGCTGTTGACCAATCATTTGTCTCCACAAAAACATCTGGTGTTGTTTCTAAGCTCCTTCTTGTGCTTGGAAAAAATTCCAGCAGAGCTGAGTCAGCAAAGCATTTGAATTGTTTAAGGCATTTTTTTCATGTCATCAGTCAGCTGGGAAACTTTTTTATTCCAGGCTGAAATGTTTTACAGGCAATACTACTATTTAATATTTGTATTATAGCTCCAAAGTAGCCCTGATTAGGTCATGTGCTATGTAAGTGCTTAGTGGAAGACATTCCCTATTTTTATATTCTAAATGATTTATGTAGTTGAAAAATGATACAATACTAGCATTCACATCCTAACTGACCTGACTAGTGAGAAATCAGGCAGACTGATACTGCTTACAACCAATTGCTAGCTCCTCCATACATATCTTTAAAGTGTGTACCAGACGCTCCAGTCCATCCACATAGATGTTTGTATGATTTCATTTCACTTTGTAAAAAACCAAAACCAGCTCTACAGCACTGGACCGTTACAGAAGTGAGTTCTGGCTACAGAGCTTGTATTTTATAAACCCAGTGCTTTTCCTCACCCTCTGTCAAGAAAACAATCCAGTACATTTTTCCAAGCTGAACGAACGCTTCAGCCTCTTCTCGTACACCATGTGCTGAAGCCCCCGACCATTTCGGCGCCCCTTCCCCTGAATTCGTCCCGGTACACCGCTCTCTCCCTTGTACCGAGGGGGGGCAGCCCCGGACCCCGCACTCCCCCGCGTGCCCGGCTGCGCGCACACCTCCTCCGCCTCCTCCCGGCCTTGCTCCGCGAGGAACGACACCGCGGCCGCCGCCTCGCTGCCCGCCTCCTGCCGCCGCCGTGGCAGCTCCGCGGCGCTGTCGGGCCGCCGGCGGCTAGCCGGCCGGTGCTCGGCCCGGGACGCCTCGGTCGCCGCCGGCCGGTGCTCCCACAGGGCCGCGTCGCCCTCGTCCCGCTTCTCCTCAGACACCCGGGTCGCCTGCCCGGCCGCCGCCGCCGCCGGCCTGCGGGAACGGGAGGAGCCGCTGCGGCACAGCGGCCGCCGCCAGCCCGCCATGACACCACCGCCGCCGCCCGTTGCCGCGGTTACCGCGCGCGCGGCGGCCCGTCCCCGTGGAAACCGGGACGGCGCAGCCCCCCCCCCCCCCCCCCCCCAGCAACGCGCAACGCGCGCGACGGGCACGTCACGTGGAGCGCGCTGACGCGACACGCAGGACCGGCGAGATGTGGCGCCGCCGCCAGCGCTCCGAGCGACCGGTGAGCGCGCGCAGCTGCGGCGGGGTGTGGGGGGGGGGGGGGGAGGAGGAGGAGGTGTGTGCGCGCGCGCGCGACAGCGCCGCGCTGCCATGGCAACCGCGGCCCTTCCCGCCGCCGCCCCCCCCCGCCGCCAGCGGCGCTGCCGGTGTCCGGCCGGGCGGAGCCGCTCCGGGGCTGCGGGGCACCCCCGCACCCCCCGCCCTGTTCCCGACGCTCCGGGAGGCAGCTCCGCTGTGGGGAGGCGTCAGGGAGCGGCGTGAGACCCTCGGAAGCCGAGCAGGCGGCGGCGTTTCCGTTACTGCCGCGGCGCTGCCGCCTGAGGCGGGGAGGAGGACGCCCTGCCGCGATCGAGTAGCGGCTGCGGGTGGCTCCTGAGGAGGAAATAAGCGTTTTGACGAGTGTTTCTGCTTAGTGCGGTCGGTGCCGCCTGCGGAGGCTTGTTCTTGGGGAGACAAATGAAGGTAGGGGGGATTTTCGGTTTTTTTTTTTTTTTTTTTTTTAGGCGTGTTCAGGGTAAGGTTGCGGCTGTTTGGCGTGGAGAAAGGGAGAACGCTTTGGCGTCGAGGTGTGTAAAAGTTCAAAACCCAGCAGCCCCCGAGGGGAGTAGGGTGTGGAGAAGGGGCGTCAGGGGGCCCGGCCCGGCCCGCAGCGCTCCGCGGGGCGCGCAGCCGGCAGCGACCTCCCGGCCTTGGTGCCGGCGTCCTCCCCGGGCTCAGAGCGAAGCAAAAGCCCTCTGCGCCCCAAACCTGTTTTCTAAGAATATCAGCCGGTCCAAGAAAGAGATGTTATTTACAGTCCACGCAGGGATGCGGTTACTGAGGTGTAAAGGGACGCTGCGTAGAGGGGAACGGTCAGGCGCTCGGGGACCGTCACCCTCGGCCTGAGGAAACAGGAGAATTGAAAACCACCTTGGGTAGAAATGAGAATAAATAAGTAACGTGCATTTGGAGCCTCGGTACGGGGGAAAAAGGTAAAACCTGCTGATAACACATGTTCGGGAGTTGGTTCGCTTTTTTTTCTAGTGCTTAAAGCTCTAGATCCAGAGTTTTGCCCAAAATGTGTGCGTGCATATATTGTGCGTTGATAGAAATACTGGGAAATTCTGCCAATGGATTCAGTTATCCTTGCTATTGTGGTTTCTACACTGTTTACCTTTAAGAAGCTTAATTTTTTTGTCAAAACAATCCAAGAAAGCATTTTTATTTTACTAAATAAAAATAAGTTCAGAAAAAATATAATAACTTTTTGTTTCTAAAAAAAAAAAAAAGGAGCTAACACTCATGACTGGACAAATATATTTTTAAGTGTAAGAGCTGCTCATCTGGAAAATAGATTTTGTTAGTGTTTTAATGCAGAAAATAGACTTACCATTCTGAATAGTTTTTGGTGTGCTTGAGCAAGAAATAACAATATTAATTGAATTACATAATCCATCGATTTTGTTTCCTAAAATATTTGCCTAAATATTTATATTTCATAAATATTTCTAACTATTTTCTACTATTTATCTTTATATCCAAATATTTCCCAATAATATTTTAGGAGCCAGAAGGGAAATTCTTATGTATCTCAGATATACTGCTTTTCCTTCCCCTCGGATCAGGCAGATTCCTTTTTACTGGATGATGGTCCTGTTGCTGTGGTTTGGGTTTTGCATGTTCTTTGTCAGAAATATTCAAGAATGTGGATGAGACTATTGTCTTGAAAATTACCAGCGTTTCTGTGTCTGGTGAACTCTAAGTAAGGTTGTGTTTTGCTGTATTAAGATTTCTTATTATTCTTATTATTTGTTTCTTATTATTTGTTAAGGAAATTTTGGTTGGGTTTTTTTTGTTGTTTTTTGGTCCTACTCATGCTTTCAGTTTTGGCAGTCTGTATACAGCATTCCAATATTTTGGATCATACAGTATGTGTAGCTGCCAAGTCTTTATATTGGATGTGCTTTGACTTTTTGGTTTAGTATCTAAAATCTGCCTCATGCAGATGATATTTACATGTGTTTCTCTGTGTTGGGAAATGAGTGTTGTACCTTGTGTCACTGGACTGAGGCCAGTGCTGTTGAGGTCAACTGTAACGTTTGTGTAAATGTTTCACTAACTTGTTGAACTCAGTTAACTTTCAACTTCTTGAAATTTGTCCCATATCATTATCTGAGCATGTTTCACTGCTTCTATTGAGCAATGATGAACTCAAATTTGAATAAAGCAGCTCAACTGATATTTTATGTGCCTCCATGACGTTATAATGTGCTTGATACATAGTCCACTCCTACTAGCTGAAAGCGAAGGTGAAGAAAAGAAGTGCAGGCGCAATGTCTCTTGTTGTGGTGCTCAGAAGTGGTTTTCATTAGGAATCTCTGGAGTAGAATAGCTGTTGCTTCCATCCTGCTTCAGGTGTGTTCAGGTGTGTGCCTAACGTATTCACAACTGATGATACTACTGCTCATTTATAAAGGCAGTAACTAGAGCCTACTGATGGCAGTCTGTGCATTTTTGCCTGCTGAACTGCTTGCTTATATTAATGAACTTGTGCTCATATTACTGTTCCCCTGTTTTCTTCCTTCTCTTTATTGTTCATTTTATCCATCTGGTTGTATTCTGATAGCAGGTAGGAATTTTAGTTGTTTGAGAAGAACTCTTTTGGAAATATCTTTCTTTCTCAAGAACTCATTTCTTGTCTAATTTTTTTCTTCCATTCTTTCTTTTGACCCTCTCCAAATTCCTGGTCTGTTGTCATTTCTGTTATGCTCTTCCAATTTCTCTCTCTTGATTCTGATTTCTTACTCTCCTCTATTTTTATGCTTCTTGTGGACACTGTTTTGCTAGTGCACTTGATTAAATGGTCCTCACCACTCATCAAAGAGGCTCAGTGTGCTGAGTCTAAAAAATCCCACGGTTGGTTGGTTGGTTGGTTGGTGGTTGTTTTTTTTTTTGTTTGTGTGGGGTTTTTTTGTTTGTTTTGGTTTGGTTTGGTTTGGGTTTTTTTTTGTCCTGAAGAGGAAAGGGAAAAAAGTTATGGGAGAAGTAGAGAATGGAAAGTGTGAAATGATGGTGGATGTCTGAGAAAGGATAGACAAGAAAAGCTTGGTGGGGGAGTGTTTCATGGGAGGCTAAGGCTCATCCACCATTAGATCTGGCAAGAAAAGTATGTGTTAATGATGGCAGTTGCTCAGATATTTTCGGATCATTGGTGGTTCTGAGGCTTGTGTAAGTGTCACGTGTACTGTTTGTAATAGGACTCTGGAGTTTATTCTTAAGGCAGGTGCTTGGGTTGTATTTGTGATTGTTCAGTAAGCAAAATCCTTACATTATATGAGAATAACAACACCTCCTCTAACCAGGTGGAAGGTAGTACTCATTAATGTGGCCTATGTTCTGTTAAAACAGCACAGCTGTTTGGATTTTCAGTAGAACTCCTTGCTGTGATGAAGCAAGCGTGGGTAATGCCAGCCGCATCTTAGTACGAATCTATAGCTGTGAAGCTGTCAAATGGCTTAGTGCTTTTCCTGAACTCTCTTCAGAATAGGACTTCTAAGTTGTTTCGGGTTAGAACTAAGCTTTTACTTATTTCCATGTAAAATGTGAATGCTTTAGAAACTACTATAGTTGGAATTGATCTGTCACAGAAGGTGGCCAGGGCTGTTACCTGTATGTAGAATTGTAAAGTTGCTTCTTCCTCTTTTCAGAGTGGGCTTCTAAGACAGAGTGGATCAAGAGCTTTTTCTTCTGCCCACTGCTCTCTGCGTTTACTAGGAACAGGAGGATACAAAATAAAGGTCACAGAAAGCAGGCAAGGTTACCCTTCTGCAGTGGGCTGTGCATTGTTTGCCCCAAAGTTAGCTGAATGCTTGAGTGTAGTAGAGAGACACTCAAGGAATGACCCAGTGTGATGTTTACTGAGAATGGGTAAAAGTTAATCTCACTTTGATGTAACTGGGGACAAAGGTGAAGGATGGAAATAATAGAAGTCGTAAAAGGGCTAAATCTGGAATAAAACGTAGTGGAGGATAAGTGAGTTCTTTGGGCTTGGGAGAAAGGCATGTGGAAATAGAGGCTATGTCAAGTTCACAGAGAAATAAAAGCAGAGAGGTTAGAGTTGGGAATGAATAAATGTAGGATAGAGATAGCAAATGAAGATTTTGAGAGAATGAACATAGCGGGATGGAGCAGATTGCTAAAAGACAATCAAATGTAAGGGCTAGGGGTGGGTGAGGGTCTTGGACAGAGCAGGTAAACAGGCATATGAAGTAGACTATTCAGTGCTGTGGGCGGATAGATATGTTACCAAGTCTCTGGAGAATGATAAGGAGCTGTTTGCACCTTCTGTATGCTGAGTGCTCTGGGTGTATGTCAGCACAGGCGATACTGCATATGGTGGGGCATCTGGCCACATGCTCTTTCTGCTGTTGAAATGCAAATAACAAAGATAGCTATACATTATTCTCCTTTTTACCGGGGCACCTAATGATCCCTATAATTTCTGTGCCCAAATCTTTATTAGCATTTCTTAGGAAAAATATTTTGAAAGAGATGCATGTTAACAGAGGAGGTGTAGTTGTATCCTGATATGCAATATCTCATTGCACAACTTTGGGGCCTTGGCTTATCGAAGCTGCTGTTAGAAGCTGTGTAGGCAACCTGAGCGTTCAGGGCAACTGGTCTAGATGTGATAGCATGGTGGGATTTTGCTGTTGTGGTTTTTTTGTGTGTGTGTGTGTTTTTTTTTTTTTTATTAATTCTGGAAATTAAAACTGTGTCAGGAGAAAATGCTGAAAAAAACAAAATGAAGTTAGAAAGGAAAAGTATGAAGAATACTGAGAGGCAGAGGCCAGGTGCACGTTAGGGTTCAGTCCCTCTTGCACAGCCCGGGCTTTTCATGGGGACAAGGATGCTGCTGGAGATACGCCTTCACACTCCCTGTGCTCTAATCTCTCCCAGCAGCTGTTCTTAGCCTGAGATGAAATTCTCTTTGTTTGTGACTCTGAATAACATTTGTGTTCTGCCACAGCGTCTCAAGTGTGTAAATGTTAGGGTAAAGTGCTTCTGCCCTGAGCTCCCCTTTGGTGATGCTTCTTTTCAGATAACATCTGGGCTTTTTGGTGGTACTGGGGACTCTAAACGTTGAGAATCTTCAAGTCAAATCAAAGAAAAGGTTGTCTACATAAAGTCAAAACTAGAAATACTGGGAAGCAAACTACTTTAACTCTTCTGCATTTGGTAAATGGAGAAGCTTTTACTCTGAAAGAACAGATCACTTAGATGTAGTTGTAGCATTAAGTGCAGTAAATCTCATCTTTTGGATGAGGTGTTGAAAAGCATCTAAAGGGCAGAATATATCTGTACAGACTGATATTTTTTGTTTGTTTGTTTGTTTTTTGTTATTTATTTTCTACCAACTTTTTAAGAAAAGGGCTCCTGGTAATTTCCATTCCTGCTTTTTTTTCTCTACAGGACCTACTGCAACTCTGCAATTGTTGATCCATGCTTAACCGCCTCAAGGGGTCCTGACAAGATGGCATCTTCCAGACTTCTCGTCCTTCTAGCATTGGCATTTTCCTCTTTGTCCTTTGTTCTTTCCCATTCAAACAGAGAGATGTGGTTTCAGGATTTCTTTCCACCTAACGTGTGCCCTATAAATGCCAAAGCCAACACTTTTTATGGCATAATGTTTGATGCAGGAAGTACTGGAACTCGGATTCACATTTATACCTTTGTGCAGAACAGCCCAGGTAAGACCCTGTGTCAGTCGGTGCACTTGGAGTATGTTGACTTAGATTCCAACTTCCCAAAAGAGGTTTCTTTTCCCCAGCATGGCATTTGGGAACAACTGAAGATTTCCATAGTTTGTCCTTCAAATGGTCCAGCAGCAGATGATTATTGTCTGTTTGTGATGGTGTTTGGCTGTGAAAATACATTGTTTGTAGATCTTTTGAAACGCCGAGGTTTAATTCTGGGTATACTGGAGAGTTCTGAATTTCATCTAGGCAGCTGTTTAATGGAGTGTTTAATTGAGTTGGAAAGAGGCTTACACTGTTTTTATCAAGTTGCATGTTACCTTCAATTATATCAAGAGATACTTCTGCCTAGGTTTATATGTTGCATTTTGTAGAAAATGGAAATTGGTAAATTAGAGTTAAAAGGTCTGAAGGTCTGAGCCATTTCCAGGTGACCACCTGTGTGCAGATAGGTACCTGGGTTGGCTGCTCACACAATAGGATTCAAGAGGGTGGATTAGCTTGGGTACAGTGAGCCAGCAAATTTGCAAAGGTTGAAGGCTGATTGGTGGAACTCAGCTAATAATAAGCCTGTCAAGGCCATGCATAGTACCTATGCGGCTTCACGTGATTTCAACCTTAGTTTGGAAGGACTGGTACAACGTCCAGCTCTGATGGACTCAGCCTGACTCGTAACATGCCAGGATAGCTTCTAGGCCGAAGCTGGGAGCAATGGTCACACTTGTTTGGCTTTGCAGCCAAGTGCTTGAGCCCAGTCAGCTCTGTTCTGTGTCTGTGAGTTGGATGAATCACCTAATCAGGAGTTGTGTCTTAATATGAATTCGTATTTCACAATTAGCTTGGGGACAGAAAGGGAAAGAAATTTTACTAAGGTAAGGCGTCACACTACATTGCTATGACTCATTGTAGTTCAAAATACAAAATGAACATAACTTCAAATTATACCAATATGTTTGTAATAAATTGTTTGTGAACCTGGAGGATACAAGAGCAACATTCTGTTAAAAATGTTCCTGAAGTGAAGGGGAGTTTTGCTTGTTTTAGGAAGGGAATATTTTTGTTCACAAGGGGAAATCAAGGATAGTCACTTTACGGGCATTGCAAGCAACCTTTCTGAAGCTAGAGAAAAAGATTCGAGTTGTTGACTGTTTCATGTAATGTTTTGTTTGTGCAGAAAACCTTCCAGAGTTGGAAGGGGAAATCTTTGAGTCTGTGAAGCCAGGTCTTTCTGCATATGCTGATCAGCCTGAAAAGGTAAGGCTCTCCTTCACTCCCTGTGAGTTCGTCTTGCCTCTGCTAATATCAGTTGGACTCTATCAAGCGGTTCAAGTATTACTAATTGTAATTGCAGAGAGTCGAGAAGAAACATAAAAGTTCTACTTTTTAACTTTGTAAACATGTTGCTCTACTTTTGGAGTTAATTTCTATACAGATAAGTGGGAGCTGTTGTTTTACATATTTCATGGAACAATGGCTTAATTAGTTGCTTAAATGCTATATATAGCTAGACTATATGCCTTCGAGAATTTCAAAGACAAAGTGATTTTTGGGTCTAGCAGCATCCCTATTCAATGTTTGTTTCCCCTATAGCTGCCCCAAATATGAGTAAATACATACTTCTGTCTCATTTACTAATAATTTTCACAGTTTTTCCTTTTGGTTGAAATTTTCAGTGCTAGTTACAGTTCAATATGGCCATATTTTGTTTTGATTAGTTTATAAGGGGTTAAGACTGCAGGGGTTTTCTTTTTTAGCCATGTTACACTGACAAGCAAAGAGGGTTCATTTCTCTGACTCCTAAAAATATTTTTTTTGTGTGTGTGTATAGTCAGATCTACAAAAGTTAATTTTTGTTAATAAGTTATGAAGACAGGGAAGAATAAAGATGCACTTAACAGATTAAGTCAGGCCTTAATATTTCTCTAAGTATATTCTCTGCTTCTATCATCATACTTAAAATAATTTGTTTGTTTTGATTCTTTGCTGTTGTCTTTGGAGTGACAGCTTGGAGGCCAGTGCTCAGTGATATGTGGGACTCAGTTCAACTATTTGATTAGGGGTTTAGCAGAGTAATGATTTAGGTACAGGCAGTTACTCTTCTACTGTCTCAGGACTTTGGTTGTTTTGTTTATATATGGAGTTTTTCAAAACACAGTGGGACAGTTCCATCTTCCACAATCAGATATATTAATTAACATATAAATTTATAATTTTAATAAGAAATTGAAGTTATCCTCTTTATTTTCAAATGAGGGTGGTTGTAAATTAATGCACAGCACGCTCGTTCCATGCCGCTCTATTGGATCAGGAGTCAGAAATGAGCAACAGAGCAGAGAGTGCTAAAATAATCCTGTTGTGATACGCAGGGTGAGTCCTGAAGCAAGCGGCCATTTTCTAAATCCCCCTGTCCTGACAGTAAGCTCTTTCACAAGCTAAAGGAGGTTCCAGAGAAATGATAGGTTAGATACTCTACCTTGTGTGCTTTAGCAATCTTGGAGTTGGGGACTAGCATAGGGGGAGTTTCAGGCTGCTTGATTTGCTCAGTTGCATTAAGTGCCACAGATATTTGAGTGAGAAGCTTCATGGAAAAGTGAATGGCTTTTGGATTTTTTTAAACTTTGATGATAGCTCTCATTATTTCATTAAATTGTCTTGTTTGTTGGGTAGGAGGGGAGAAGAGTTTGCCCCAAAAGAAATTTCTAGATATTTTACAGGAGAATATTTATTGCTAATGCCAAACTGTAATTGTTAGAGCAGTGTAAATAATAGAGAGCCCCACAGTGATGCAAGTACCTCGTGTGGTAACCATTCCACAGCTGGCATTTTAATTGCACTACTCGCTATGGACACACTTGGAATTCTTATAGTGCATTTAGTGAGATCTACAGACATTCATCCTGAGCTTTGCAGCTTCAGTCAGTAATTGTACCATTTAGTTTCATCATACTGTCAGATGCTCAGTTCCCTTGCCTCCCTCCATCCTTTCAAATACTTTCCACCAACAATGACATTTCCGTTGCCAGAGATATGTCTCTGAATACACTCATCCTTCCAATGTGGACAATCTCTCTAAGGTTCTTATGAGATGTCTAGCACAGTTTTTACCCTTACCTTGGGTGTGGGTGAGGTATCATCTGCTATTGAATACGGGTTTCACTAGTGTTGAGGGGGAATTGGGATATTTATTTTATGATGGCCTGTAGGAGGAAACCATAAGAAAAACATAATCTTTTTCCTTTCAGGGTGCTGAATCTGTCAAAAGATTGCTGGACATGGCCATAGAAGCTGTGCCACCTCATCTCTGGAAGAAGACCCCAGTAGTGTTAAAAGCCACAGCTGGACTGCGCTTGCTGTCAGAGGAGAAAGCTCAGGCTCTGCTTTTAGAGGTAATACTGGGATCTTCTAGAGGCACTAGGGTTTTGTCTTTTATGACTCAGTTCTCCATTCTGTTTAGTGTAAGAGAATTTCAAGTTTGAAATTGACTGTAATCCCATGATAGCATAAAACTCACAGGCTTTATAGACTTTCTTATAGGGTCCTGAAATCCTCTGTCTTGATGTGGATAGAAGGCATGGGGGGAGAGAGACGTACGATCCTTATTTCTTTCTTTCCTGGCCCTTGAAAGAATTTTGTCTACTCTACACACTTGTCTTATACTGCTAGAAAAAGAAAACTTTCTCTGTCACCATAAGAGCAGAACAAGACTCTTAAGACCAAGGAATCTAATAATTATTTATTTCTTCAGGTGAGAGAAGTCTTTGAGGAATCACCATTTCTTGTTCCAGAGGACAGTGTTAGCATCATGGATGGGTCTTATGAAGGTATGTTTTAGAAGGAGGAAAAAGTGAAAGCAAAGAGGAGTAGGGGGAAGAGAGGGAGATATCTTATGGACGTGAGAGGGAAAGAGAAATGGTCACTAAACTGAGGGAAGAAATAAAAGGTTTCTAGTTCTGCTTGAAACAATTCAATCCTCCTTTTCCTAGGAGGTGTTGATTACTTCATCATCTGTTAGGCTATAAATTCAGATGCACAAAGAGTTTTATGAGTTAGCTAGATGCAGGTTTATCCAAAACCTTCTGAGGTTCCAGAAGAGAACCTTATTTCAGAAATAAGTATGCAGGTTAACCAGCTGAAGCCTGCTTTTGGGAACTGGTGGAGAAAAGATGGTGTCTACCTCTGAAAGGCTGCACGATGGTATATAGCAAACTAGGAAACTTCTGGAAAGTGCCTAGTAAATTCTGCACTATCACTGTTAAATATAATCTATTATGATCAGTTCATCAATTTTCAGGTTAAGGTTGGAAGCATTGTGAATATTAGAGATAAATGAAGGATAATGGGCAAGTACTAAAAAATTAGATAATGAAATACATAATAAAATAATACATTCTAGAGAATACTGTGATTGAAAAAGTGCAGCTAGTAAAGTAGCAAAGGGAGTAAGTTAAAATATAGGAAAAGGTGAAATATGTTGTAGGTTTGAAGTGACTGCTGATTTTGCAGTGCAGAACAGGCCACTGTAACATTTTGACTACATAGCCAGACAAATTAACTTGGAGAATAGGCAGGTAATAATCCTTCTGTATGGATGCCAGATAAGAGCCATCTGTGATGTTGCATTCAGTTCTGAACACTTCATTGTGGCAGATATATTGCTAGTTTGGAAGGTGAATTATCCCAATGCTTAAACAACTAATAAATGGAGTAAGATTCAAGAGCAAAATCTGCCCATATGGGCCAGAGAAAAGGAGAAGCAACATACAAGTATTCGATGAAGTACAGTGCAATGTCTAGTACATCACTAGGATTAATGGGTGAATTGTATACTGGGGAGAAGTGTCCTATGGAGAGGGAGCAGTACCATTGAGGCATAACAGAGCACAGTGTAGCCTGCCAAGGTTTATTTAAAAATCCCACCACTCTGCTGTCTCATGCTTGCCTATGTTTAGGTGAGAACCATGCCAGTGTCAAGCAAGTTGCTGAAGTCAGAGGAGTTGTGTTTTACTGGTTGCCACTATGTCTGTAGTGTAATTACAGAAACCACAAAACTAAAACACAGAGTGGTGTGTATGTAATTTTCAGATTAGGAATTACAGTGCTGGGGGGAGAGGGGGGAAGTGTCCAAGGAAACTTGTGCATTGTGTCAGTTTGTTACTTCTTTGTATATTGATTGGATAATAGACATGATTAGTGCATGCTGCAGTTGCATGGATATTACAAACATTCTACCTATCTCAGTTTGAGATTTTAATGATTCAATAACAAATCATATAACTTAATTAGGGGGTGGTATATTAAGTTAATAATGATTTCCAGGTAAATAAGTAACATGTGTAGGGGTGTTAAGGGTGGGAAGGAGGTTGTGGGAGTATTCAGTGGTGACTATTTTTTTTTTCCTTTTTCACTCTTTGCAGGAATTTTAGCCTGGATCACTGTGAACTTTTTGACAGGTAGTTAATTCTGTATAACTTCTCTCTAAATACGAACTTTAGTCCTTTCTGCAGAGATGATCATCTTAAATTCCTCTGCCTTGGTTGTCATGTCCTGCTTTCCCTCCCTGGTGTGGCACCAGTGCTAAAGCAGTGGATCATCTTGGGCAGACTGTGTTCCAGAGGGTGACACACCTGTAGTAAGGAGGCATTTTAATCCAGAAGGTGCCAGGATTTACTGAGGACTGGGAGGCACTGGCAAACTGGTTTCTGTAATATATGTAGGGGAGTGGTACTGCTAATCTGTTAGGAGGTGGGAGACCCGGTTTTACAATGTTCTTCCTCCCGGCATGAACTATGCAGTAGTGTAACAGGGAGTGCACTGGTGCTTTAGCCCTGCTGACTCTGAGAAGTTCTGGGAATGCAATCTAGTGAAGCAAAAAGGAAGTCAGTACTCCAGCAAATACATGAGCAAGCAAAACAGCTGCTCTGTGTGAAGGGAAGTTATAATAGCTGGTTCTGCTCTTACTATCCTTCCTCACCTACTGCCCTTGGCCAGCTGTATGGTGTTAACAGAAGCTATGTACTCTCCCTGACAGTGTTCTGCAGGAGATACTTTATCCCTTATTTTCAGCTTTTGCTGGATGCCTAGAGATTTATCTGCTTTTGTCTCTTTGGAGGCAAAATTGGAATAAAGGAAGAAAGTCTTATGAATCTTTTTGTAATACCTGGTTTGCCTACCTTTTCTCTGTGAATGTTTTTTGTCTTTGAAGGCCAACTTAGCCCTCCTCCATTGCTGTGATAATGTGATAACTTGGTGGCTGCCTGAACAGGCATGCACTATTTTTGCATTTGGGGCTGTTCTGAGCATGATGTTGTTTGCAGGGCAGCTGTCTGGCCAGAACCAGCATACTGTTGGGACTCTGGACTTGGGAGGAGCCTCAACCCAAATAACATTCCTGCCGCGGTTTGAGGTGAGGAGTGATTAAAAGTGTGCGAGTTGGGACTGCAGGGCCAGTAGAGAGACCTGAGCACTGCTGGGCCCTCTGATACCGTTTGTCAGCGCTGGCACAAGCAGAACATCTGTGGTGTACAGATCATCTGTATTTCTGTTCCCTTTGACATCAGCAGTTGACTGATAGGCACTTGAAAACAAAGGAGCCTGGATAGCGAGGAAGGAAAAAGAAAGCAAGCAAGTGGGTAAAACCAAAGAGAAACAGCTTTTGTTCTCTAGACCCAGGCTGGGAAAGCCCCATTAATGCAGACCGTTATTTTGTATTCAATAAATGTAGCGCATTTGCAGGGAGTATTCTTGCATATTCTTGTATAAAGAAATTCAGAGTCTGCTCTGAGTTGTCTTTTCTCATTTTTTTTCCATTCCAGTCTGATAGCAGATCCTCACTATATTTTGAAGGAGGGTGTCTAAGGAGGCAAACGTCTTTCATAATAGCACAGCCATTCCCTCTTTACTTACCAATTTCTTTGCATTTTCTTTGAGAATTCTCCTCTCTGCCCCTCAGTCTAGCTCTGCTGGATTTGTCAGGAATTCTATAGCTCTTTAGAAGCAGTTTGAGCTGGGACTCAAATTTAGGGTTTGCATGGAAAATTTACATTGCTATTGAAAGGGCATTATATCATTCTATACCTTGATATTGTGAAGTTGGTTTTGTCCCCCTTTCTGAAAGAGTCCTTTGCTTAACATTTTTTTTGCTTACAGAAATTGTGATTCTCAAAGGGTGATTGGGGACCACAAAACACATGTTTTTCATATCAGGATGTTTTAATTCTGCAATGGTGGGTCATGCTGAAACATGACATACAACCTTATCCTGTTCAGCAAAGCCTCACGTACTCTGGACTTGCTCTGTTTTGTGTTGATAACACCTGCTGAAGTGGGCACTGGACCAACAGGAAAGGGTGTTGCGTGTCAGGGTTTTGGAGCATAAATAGAGCTGTGAAGTAGGCTGAACTGCAGGCTTAGGATTCAGATGTCTCTTTAGAGCCTTGCAGGAAAAGGCCTTGAGAGTTTGCTACTGACCAGGACCAATGGTGTGAATTTGTAGGGCAGTGTGAAAGTCAAGGTTCACGTTTCCTGATTGTATGCTGTCTGCTTCTTGCCTGTATTGTCAAGTCCATACTAAAAAGCATGTAGATAGCTCAGTATGTTTTTGAAGGGTTTTTCCCACCTGATGGATTTAGCAGGGATTTCCCCATTTGATTTGCAGAGGGGGTTTTTCCCTTCCTGAAATCTGAAGCAGTCACATGTTTGCTTTTGTATTCATTTTGAACAAAATAATGTAATCATAAGAGATTCATTGGTGAAAATCTAGATTACAAGTAAATAGAGGACATATAATGGTAACTGCGTGGAGCTGTTTTTAGGCTAGTGTTATGCTTTTCTTGGTATTATTGCTAAAGTTATAAGCAACTGAAAACCAATTGGCATCATTATGAAATTGTCTGTTTGCTGCCTACCTCATTTGGGAGGAGTGTGAGGATTCCTACATTTTCGTGAAAGGCATGAAAATCTACCTGATGCCCAAAACAAATTTCAATTTGTATTTGTTCAGGAAAAACTCAAGCTGAACACTGCCCAATCTCTTTCAGCTTTGAGTAGGCTTCTGTCTAGGACTCTACAATTCCAGCTCTGTTTGGTGTTTTTTTGCTCTATCTGGTTACTTGAACGGTCACTACAGGGACTCTGCAGCTACAGTCCTCTCTGAGATTCTGCTCCTTGGCCCAGAGCAACAGAGTGTCTGATATGAATGCACAGGGCCAAGAAGGACTGGGAGAATGAGGTCACTAGCAGAGGAAAGACATAAACTGGGATTGAGATCTCGAGGACTGGAAACAAAGGAACAGTAAATGAGCCCTAAAGTGGTTCAGATTTACAAGAATATGAGTTAGTCTGGCAAGAAGGTAGGGACTGAGTACCAGGGAGCTGCAGGTGCACACAGAAGGAAGATTGTGAAAGAAGTAAAACGAGGTGATGAGTTAAGAGGTGAATTTAGAGATGTTCTGGAAAACACTTAAACCAGGAGGTAAAGCAGCCATAAGACTAGGAGTGAGTGGTCACAGTGTTTTCTGGAGTATTAGCATGATATTTGACATGGTGAAAATGTGGCCTGCACTTTACTTTGCATTTTTAATTCTTCTGAGTTTCTCAGCTGAGATGTCTAGTCTGACTTCTAAAAGTTCATCGTGCTTCTAGTGCAGTTGATTTTGATGGGGACTCTGTATATATAGACTAGATGTAAGTACTCTGAAAAATTCAAGTATCCTGAATTAGAGAGTATTTTCATCCTGATCTGTTGCGCTTCCCTAATATACACAGAAATAACACAAAGATGCATATAAATAAACTCAGTGTTAAAAGCTATGGATATCGCAGCAGTGGGCACCATTGGAAAACTGTTGTTTTCAAAGCAGATCAGATGAATGAGCAGTAAACCCTATGGGTGTATCTGTGATAACACATCAAAGTTGGTTATTCTTCATTGCGTAATAGAAACTAAAAGATTTCTTCTTTTACTTATCTTTTAGGAAACTTTGAAGGAAACCCCTGGGGATTTTCTTACCTCATTTGAAATGTTTAATAGCACCTACAAGCTCTATACTCACAGGTGAGGAGCAAAAAGGCTGCTGTGTCCACTGGGGAAATCAGTCTTTCTTCAGCCCCTGAGCTAACCACAAATGGCCATGTCATCCCGATACCAGCAGTTGGAACCATGACTTTCTTACTAGTTTTCTTATCTGCTTGAAACATTAGTTGAAGTGGAACATGACATTAGCTGACTGGAAACGTTCCAGGGTCTTGGTTAATATCACTGCAAGGGAATGTTAGTCAGTCTGTTAAATGAAAGAGGAAGCATTATGAGTTACTATATTTAAGAAGAATTCTTATTACTGGATTCAAGCCAAATATTCCAGACCAAGCAGAAAGGTGGATATTGTGCCAGTAGTCAGAACTAAACCTGGTCAGAGATTTGGAAAGAGGACCTTCCTGAGACTTCTTCCTTCTTAGTTTGAATTGGCACAGCTCATTAGCAACTGTATAGAAAGTAAAACCTAGACTGATGTTGACCAAAGAGAGAACCACAGTTGGCTGATACCATGGAGCACAACAGATTCTTGAACCAATTGGAGGGGATGTTTGGCCTGGAGTAATAATTGCATTTACTGTGTTAGGCTGACAGGTTTCTGAGATGTCTGCAGTGAAATCCAGAGAGTTCACCTGCGTGACTTTCAGTGCAATGAGAACTTGACCACGTATAATAGAAAGTTGGTCTCAGTCTTTTACTAGTGGGGTGAAGATTATCATCTCAGTCAGTTACAGAATATGCTTATCTGACAGCAAAGCTGCCCTTTCCTATTGCTTTCATTTACTGATGTAACTGATTGCTATATTCACCACTACAGTGAATTTGTTAGATCTGTATGGACATGACTGGAGGGATAAGTAGCCAAACACAGAGGTGGAAATGAAAGACCAACAGGTTTTTAATCTAGTTGTGTTGCTGAAGCCAGGCATTCTCATAAATGTTGTTCACATCCTAGTTTGTAATGAGTCTAGCAGTAATCTGTGGAGTCACAGGTGAATTTCATACAAAGGCACAGCTCCCATTTAATGGGAGGTTCTGCAGTTCTATTAGTTCTGCCCTAAGAGCGTCTTTATGTGCGTGACATGAGTGGCCATCCTATTCCTCATGCACTCCTCACATACCCTTCTTTCTTTGTTTTTAAGATTGTGCATTTTTGCTTTTCATAAATGTTTTGTAGAAATATCACATGAGCTCTAACCACTTTTTGCAGTTTTAATTTACCCATTTTACAGCTCTCTGTAATTCTTGGTTTTGCGGCACTCTTGATACTTGCAATTATTCTGGGAAAGGGAACTCTGTTTCATAGAGGGGAGACTTGTGGGAAGCAGAGGAAGGAAGTTTGGTTTGGGTGTTTCGGTATTTAGGAAGAGGCTATGGGTGAAGCATGCCAGATGTGGAAGAAATAAAACTGTAATGCCTGTCTTTGTTTGCAGCTATTTGGGGTTTGGACTAAAAGCTGCCAGACTAGCAACACTTGGAGCTTTGAATATGAAAGGTATGGTCATATGATAAAAGATGTAAGATTTTTGAAGAGATGGTCTTGTGTCAGCAGCCCATTTCCCATATCTTCACTTCTGTATCTTATGCTCTTCTGTGTTTTCATTGGTATAGATCTGTCTGGAAACAGGCTACTGCTTGTCAAGTTGTCTTTTGAGACAGCTGCTTTTCCCTATTTCCAGCTCCAGCCAGCAGTGAGACAGAGTGCAAATTCCAGAAACGCACATCTGGGAACATACAAACACCATATAGACATGGCCAACCATAAACTCACAGCTTTACAAGCGTCCACAGAAACACAAGCAGCGTGAATAGATCCTTATCCTAAGGATTACTGATTAGGCCAAACCTACTTTATAGGTCTCTCTGGTATCTGCCTGGCCCGCTGTGTTTCCCCAGCCCTCCTGTTGCATTCACTGACAAGCTGACTAGTCTAGCTTGAAGTCCATGAGCGTATCACACACACTCTCGCTCACTACCCTGAATGCATACCCACATCCCTGAGTCTTTCCAGTCTCTGGCCCAGACTGTAAGTCCTTTGGGTCTTCATGCCCAGACTGTGGGCCTTTTGTCCAGACTTTGGCCAGAACCTGAGGTCTTTCCACGTTCTGGATTCTTACTTGCCAGCTAGATGGACCTATATTAGCTACTGGAATGTACGCAAATCAAAAATAGTTGAGAATAGGGCTTAAGAAAAAGGTAGGACAGACTGCAGTGGTTGGTCACAAAGCTCGGCCAGAAAAGCACATTGACCCTTCCTACTTGTGATTGCTGCCTTTTATCGTCCCCTCCGTTCTCCCACACTTGTGCTTCCCTGATGCCTTGATTCCCCCTTTCCCTGCCTTTGAGCCTTCCCCCAGACATCCCATAGTAAATTTTGCAGTCCTACAATCCCCCTCAACCATTCTGTAAGAAGTTTGCTTTTCCTGCGAGACCTGTGCTGGCCACAATAATCATGTTGTCTTCTTACCAGATACAGTATTTCTGGTTGAACCCTTCAAAGGTACATTCAGTGGATCCTGTAGCAGCCACTGACCAGTGTCTTGGCAGTTTTTGTCTTCACTGCTCAGTTGCTTTTTTTGTTCGGTTATCTGCTGTTTGTTAGGGTTTGCGTAGCTATGTGTTTAATTTACCACCTCTCTTGGGTTTTCTCTTCTGTGGTGAACAGCCGTTATTCAGATATGCCTTGTCCCATTTATCTCTCATTAACAAATGACAAGCCCAGCTGCTCTGCAGCTTGGAGGACAAAATGGACACAGCTTTTCCAGACTGAGACTGGTCCAGTTTGTGCAGCTTCCATCAATTCAGATTTCTGTACTTTAAGCAAAAGACCTTAATGAAGATCTTTCAGCCTTTCCTTTCTGGTTTTTCATATTGATTGATAGCTGTGTTAAATTTTATCCTTTCTGACTCTCCCCTCCTGGTTTCATTCCAGCTGTGGACGGACAAATGTTTCGCAGTTCTTGTTTGCCAAAGCAGCTGGAGGCAGAGTGGCACTTTGGGGGAGTGAAATACTGGTATGGTGGCAACAGAGAAGGTAAACTAAGGAGTCTTATTGCTTCTTGTAAGATAAGTCTTGTCTCCAGAATCTGTTTTTCTTTGGGAAATACTCCATCAGTTACTTTGGGTTATGAAGGATACCTGTCCAGTCATAGATGTGGACTTTTGACAGAGCCAAAGAAAAATTTGAAGCTGTAAGAATAGCTGGCCTGTACCCTGTGTACTCTGGCTGAGATCTCTTACTACAAATGCTACCTTTATAGGAAATGTTAAGAGTTACTTGTGCAAATAAGAGAACTTTTTCTGAGGCTTTGAGCTAAGTGCAAAATCTCTGGCTGTGTTAGGGTACAGTAACTGGTAGGCCAAAGTCTGCATCACTTGTGGAACTACTTTTTAAGCTACTGTCCCCAATGGTGCATACAGAGGGTGAAGCTGCTGCCATCAGATCCCTTTGGTGACTGATATTGCCTTGCTTTACAGTGGGGAACATGAGCCGAGTTGTAGATTTGGTGTGTGGAGTGGATTGATAAAATTACAATGTGATGGGGAGGGAAGGTAAGGTTTTATCTAGCAGGTGGTATCAAATGTAAATGAGATTCTGCTGGCCACAGAGCATAACAATGGGAGTTTTGCCTGACACGGAGGAAGCTTTTCATGCACCTACACTAGTTTGCACAGTGCACCTTTCAGACATTGTTATGATCTGCTCTAACCAGTTCCAGCTGATGATGGTGATTTAGAGTCCTTGCCTGCATGCAGGTGCTGTACTGGATTACAAAAGGGATATCTAAGTTCTTCTTACCTCTTCTGATGCTTTAACTTGTTTCTACCCTTTTTCATCCTATTGCCACTGATTCTTCCATCTCCTGGATATGCCTCTTTGGCTCACCCCATCTATGTTTGTCCTGACAGGAGAAACAGGATTCAAGCCTTGCTACTTGGAAGTACTCAAGGTTGTCAAAGGGAAACTGCACCAACCAGATGAGATTCGTGGAAGTTCCTTCTATGCTTTCTCCTATTACTATGATCGAGCAGTTGACACCAACCTAATTGGTAAATTGGTTTGGGATAATCTACTATGTGTCAGCATGTCAACCAGAAGGTAGACGGGGGAACCCTGGAGGCTGGAGCCACGGGGAGCAGGGAAAAGGAACACTGTTGAGAAAGAGGAAATACACAGAGTGTCTTCAGGGAATGAACATGTATCTGCCAGTGCAGTTTGATGTTCAGAGTTCAGCAGATGAGACTTGTGCTCTGAGCTCCATTATACTTGCAGCTCTGTTTTCTGTAACCAGCAGATCTCACTCGTAGCCTGGCATCACCAAGTTGTACTCTAGGGTCAACTTAGATATAGAACTCCAGTGCTTTCAGGTCTATGATGATGTTTTCTCACCTCTTCCTTTTCAGATTATGAACAGGGAGGTGTTTTGGAAGTGAAAGATTTTGAAAGAAAAGCCAAAGAAGGTAATTGTCATGAGACTTGGGAAACTGATGTGGATGAGAAATAACAAAACTATGAGTGTATAGGCAGTACATGACATGAGTTTGACTTAACAAAAAAAAAAAAAAAAGTAACCTTTATTCTATACCTTCAGTGTCATGCTACTTACCTTTTATTAGCCAACACCTGTAACTGCTGCAGAAGAAAGTACTGATAGAGCAGAGAGGGGAAACAAAGTGTTAGCAGCTTCGCAGTTCTGTTCTGGAGAGGAGGGAGATAGTTCATAAATGTCAGTACAAAAGAAAGTGAATTTACGGTATCAAGAGCTCCTTCTGTCAAACTGCAACTCTGAGTTTAGGAGAGTGCTGACTTCTGTAAATCTGTCACCTTAAATCTTTTTAATCTCTGACAAAATGGAGGGAGAGAGTAGAGGTGGTTTAAGTCTGACAGCCTCTTCTGCGTTCCTTTCCCTCCCCTTGACTTTTTTCCTGAATGCTTGTTCTAGTTTTGTTCCTCTTGTGAAAAAAGAGCTCCCGCCTTCCCATGCTGCTGATGGCTAAGAGCAAGACATTACCTCTGAATTGTGATCATCCTCATAATGATTAGTAGACTGTATTTTTCACCAGAAGATGCTTAATTATGTAGTTCAGGACTGATTTTTTTTTTTTCTAAAATACGGCCTAAAGTCTAATGACTGTTCAGTTAATCTCCCTAGAACCTCAGATGATTTTGAATAGGGGGATTAGGCTCTAAAGTTTGAGTGTGGGTTAGTTAGTTTTTTTTTTTCCCCTGGATACTGAGAGCGCTCATTTTCTAAGATGTTATCTAACACCATCAATCAATTACTTAGCTTCAGAGCATCAAGAGATCAATTCTGTGATCCTAAATTAATGCTCCTCTTTCTCATATTAGGAGGATACTACTTACCAGTTTCTAAAAAGAGGTGAACTCCATTCTTGATGCTTGTAGAACAGGGTAGTAACAGTAGGTCTGGGAGATGACACTTAATGTAAATCCATTTCCCAGTCACTGTCAGGCTTAGTGTGGAATCTTGACTTAGCTGCAGCAAGGGAGTGGTTGTTTGAGCAATAGCCTCTTCCATGTCCTCGGACATGTGTGGTTGGAAAAAAAAGAAATGAAACTGCCATCCTAGAAGGTGGAGTCCATTACTGGAGCCATCCTTGGAGACTAGACAAGAAATACAAATGATGCTGTGTTCTTGAAAGATTAAGTAATCTACCAACCCCCAGCAAGTTATCAACTGAACAGAGGTTCAGACTTCCAAAGAGCTATGTGGATGATGGTGCTGTAATAAAAGATGTACTTACATGGAGTTAAGAGAAACCAGAAGTACTGTACAGTTTATTCTCCAACATTATAGAACAGCTGTGTAGCAGGTACCATGTGTCACGTGTACCCCTTAGTAGAAGTAGGTGATTTGCTTCAGTGAGCTTTGGCTTGAAGTCAGTTCAAATGTACAATGTGAGTAAAAGCTCTTATTTTGCTAAGATCCCTTTTTTTGTTTCTTTCTTCTCTAGTCTGTGATAACATGGAGAGGTACAACTCAGCCAGTCCTTTCCTCTGCATGGATCTCACTTACATCACTGCTTTACTAAAGGAAGGTTTTGGATTTAGGGACAACACACTCTTACAGGTGAGAAAAACAGTTAAATCCCAAAGCCAACTTCCCAGTTTCTGTGTCCACCAACATGCATTAGTTAATTTTTCTGGGTAATTACCTACTGAGTCTTTCCAGGGTTGTTACACGTAGTTGCTGTCACCTGTGCAATGTACAAATCTAGAGAACTATCAGGAACACCTTCTTTTTTGTCCTTTATAGTTAACGAAGAAAGTGAACAACATAGAGACAAGCTGGACTTTGGGTGCTACCTTTCACCTGCTGCAGTCTCTAGGGATAACCTGCTGAGCTGTGACGTTCCTGTGGACTTCGGCATTTCTGAAAGGCTGAGAAAGCAAATTGAAATCTCCAGGTACGTTGTTCAGCTGGTGTTGGTCACAGATCAGAACATGGACCAAAGCTATAGAATAGATCTTCACCCTGGATTGGCATCGTGCATAATGAGAGTTGCCACAGTATGATTTACAATTGTGGTTGCCACAAACGATCCAGAAGCTGCCTTCTGAAAGTCACAAGGCCTAAACTCCAGCAGAGTATCTGCAAGGGACTCAAAGCCAGCTTTCACCAGCACGTTTGTATAGCACAGAGTACCTGGCATGTGGTGGCAGACTACAGACACTGACTTCCCCTCCCCCTTTTATTTTAAACATACAGAACTTAAGTTTGCTTGTGAGATGTTAAATACAGAAATTAAAGATGGCATCAACAGTCATTCAGAGTAAAATGAACTACTGGATGCTGCCAGCCTCAGCATTCCCAGTACCCAGCTGTTAGTTTAGCTAATCCATTGCAAGAAGACTCCGGTCAAGGCAGGGCCTGCTCTAAGCACACTTTGGACATGGTTTTGGGAAAGGTGTTGGCTAAAACATAGGTTGTAACTTGCCAAGCATTTCTTTAGGCAGCAGTGATTTCCTAAGCAGAATGTGTGCCTGACTCTGTTCCTTTTTGCTGCCCTTTACAAGTCTGTGCAGCTATACTGTACATCTGGCTACCAGACCCAATAACTTGATTCATTTAGCATGTAGTCATAACACATGGTTGTGCTGGCACAACTAGGCAGCAGTGCCAGCTATTTCAACTCCACTGCCAAAAGAAATGCTTGTCACATTACACCCACACGGACATTAAGGGTACAGTCAGATGAAATGGCTGATCAGATATAGCTCACTTTGCTGTGAGAGGCAGTTCTGTTTCTCTGCTTTCAGCAAGGCACTCCCCCAGCCATCTTTCCTCTGCTGGCACTCCTCAGGTTCTTTGGTGAACAAATTCATGAAACCAAACTTGAGTTAAATCAGCTCACCAGAGTCAAGTCTAGTGCTAGCATGAGGGGAACAGGCATTGCACAGCCCGGGGGCCATGCTGGGCCATCGAGCTGTTAGAACACCACAGCCCATTTTGTCAGAGTGAGCTCTAGGGTGTGGTTTCCCATCTGAAAGTTTGGGCTTATCGCTTCCTGCACTCTTCTTAGGAGCCTCCTCTGAATGCAGAGCTGCGATGAAACAAGCTGTTTTTTTCAGTTGTTTAATAGATAAAAACAGGGAGAGAGCAGAATTAGCATCAGAAACAGAGGGAGAACAAGAACAAAAGTAGCTTTGCTTTCTTATCCCTTGTTTGCTTATCCTTTGTCCATTTTAAATTGGTTTAATTTCTCTTTAATACAGTGAAGCGAGACCCATAAAATGGTCTATGCAGCCCTGGGTTGCTCCGGAATTATTTTTAATATTTACAACAGGTCTTTAGGAACAGTGCATCCAGTGAAGGTGTTGCAGCTGTTTAGGAAGCCCAAGACTTTGTTAGGAGAGCATGAAGCTATGAGTAACAATTTTAAGTGAATCTTGCCCTCTCTTTCACAACAAACGCAAAGAAGCAATGAAAGATCAATATTTTAAATAAAGTGTCTTGTCAGGCTAGAAAGTTGGGCTGTAGGATCCTGGTTTTCTTCTTTAATTGGTTGTAGAGAACATTGAGATTGCCTGAATACCTTGAGGCTCCAAGTGCAGACCTTGCATTGTCCTAAGTAGAAAAAACTTACTCTATCCCATGAAATAGTTACCAGCTAGCTGCTCAATAGAAATTAGTATCTTCTACTCACCATGGAATGTGTAAGGTAAAGATGATTTTACCCCAGTTGTAAGAACAGAGAGGTATTACTCACGTGACTAAGGGAAGCTTTCATTCTCTGATCTCTTACTGAACACTTTCCTGCCAGGCAGCTGCAGTTACCTATTTGCTGTAACACCTTTCCTACTTCTGTAAGACCAAAGATGGCCCTCCTGCTACCTTCTCTGCAACCTGGATTTCAAAATAATTGGTACTTCCCGGCAAGGGGAAGAAGTAGCACACTCGTGCCCTCACTAATCTTGCCAAGCACTTTGGAGACTCAGAAATTTGCCTTACTGTGAACATTAGTCCACTTCCTCTAGTTAGCAGTGCAAGACTGTGGCTGATTAAGCTATTCCCTTCTCATATCTCAGGTTTTATGGCACTAGGGTGCAAGGCGTGCTTTGGATTGAATAAATTCAGTCAGCATCAGGAGTCCAAGGGTTGAGGATGGAGCTACCTGTACTTGTCCCACCACTGACACCTTGTTGTAAATTCAGGCTGTTTCTCTGAAATGTGAAATGCTCATCCTACCTGTACTTTTCCTTACCAAAATCGGTTTTGAGAACCGTGTTGGAAAATTCCTCAGTCACACCAAACTTCTGGTCCTTGCTCACTAGGAGCTTCTGTTTAAACATGAAGAAAGTAGTTGTGACCTCTTCTCAACCACGAGCGTTTCTTATTCCCTTTCTTAGTGTTTGACAAAACTTAGTAGATGGTCTGGTCTGCAACAACAGGGTGAGTGTAACCACATTCATTTTGTCTTCAGTGACCTTTGTATTCACTTTTGTATTCTCAGAGAACACAAAGTAGGATGCACTGGTTACTAGCCAGGCTGCATTACCCCCAAGAACTAGCTAATTTAATAATCCAAAAGCTTTCTCTCAGTCTGAGCCAGTGCTACGACAAACTCTTATTAGATCTTGGGGCTAAGAGCTGTGAGCAGTGAGGCTGTATTTGAAACAGGAAGGGAATGTGTTATGGTGTAGGTAAGGAACAAGCAGCAGCAGCACATCTGCCAACGGAATAGACTCTAGCCCTGAGAAGTACTTAGGGGTTTGGTTCTGTGTAAAGGGCAGGTGGTCTAGAACAAGACAGGTACCAGGCAGAGGAAGTTTCGTTTCTGTGTTCTTTGCCTCAGACTCTGGTACTACAAATGCTAGGTGGGAGCATCTGCTTCCCAGCACCAAAGCTGCATTGACTCTGAATGCTCGGGGCCTTCCTTTGTCAGTGGCACAATTCATTAACTGAAGCAAACCTGCTGCTCTCTATCAGGGGCCTGATCCTGCAGTCATGAGAGAAACAAAAACTCAGCTCAAAGCTTTCTTTTGTAAGAAGTTGCAGAACGGAGCCCCTGCTGTTTACATCTGAACTACTCAAGGTGGGTGGGGGATCTAGAGAAGCTACTGAAGTCCTCACACTTGCCCTAGTGCAATGAGATTATTTATTAGATTAACTAAAGACTGAGCAGCTTTTTGAGAGAAGAGTTCTACTTGCAACCCTGATTTTTATCTCCTCCTTTGTAATGTCTTTTAGTCAGTCACTAACAGGAACTGCTTGGTACCAGTGACTGAGGAAACACAAGTAATGGCTTTCAGTTCAAAACTTATGTTTCATTCTTTCTGATGTTAATTCCTGATACTGGTCTTGCCCATGGGCAGTGCTCACTTAATTTTGTGAGTGTCAAACGTCTAATGCAGGAGGCTGGTGTTTGGAACCTATGGACAGAATATCTTGAATGTCTATTTTAGTAATTAAAGCATTTTTAACAATTAGCAAGATGACGTGGTGCACTTTTCTTTCCTAAATATTCCTGTTGTCTTACATCTCTTTCATGGAGCCCTTAAGAATAGCTAGTTCCACAAGAAACACTTATTAAATAAATCACCAAAAGAAGGTCAGGAAAAAGGGTGAAAGAAAGAGAGACAGCTTAGAGCTTCAAAACATGTCTGCCACCATGAGTTGTCTCCCTCTCCTGTAAACCACCTCTCCTTTCTGAGTCCAGAAAGTGTTAAGAACCCAGGAGTGACCTTACAGCTCTAGAAATCACATCAGAAAAAACCAAAAGTAATGAAGCAGCAAAAGTTGTAGCTGGCAAAATTCAGCACTGCATTTGCCAAAAGACAGCCAGCCCTTTCCACCTCAGCATTCGATTCAAAAGGCCCAAGTTACAAGCACATTGTACAGATAGTTCTGTGGCTGAAGACATCATGGAACTATGGGAAGAGACCCTGAATCCTCTTGAGGACGGCAGGTGAAACAGAACTTTTGGATAAACCAGAAGATGCCATAAAACAGAGCTCAACCCCTCACTTTTATTGTTAAATTAAAATAACACAATTCAAAGATTCAAGTCAGTCATAGTCTTTATAAGGGCAACGCATTCAGTAGCAAGCTGCTGTTCCAAACTGACAACAGATCACTTGCTGGCAAAAGCCATGATTTGCTCCTAAAAGAGGAGAAGAAAAAGGTAAGTGATTCATGAACTGGTAATAAGCACACATTCTAGAACACAGCTATAGTGTCCTTCCCTTTTATATACATATGGACAACTGTTCTTTGTCAGCCTTTCTAGCCAAGTGCAGGGCACCTATCCCTGTACACCAGAGTACTGAAGAAGTGGCAGTATTCCTTCTCTTCACAAGCACCACAAAACAGAGGTGTTGTTACCAGCGGTTCTGTGCTCAGAAAGAGGTGTTCATTTGGTTTTCTGCTTTAAACAGAAAAATTCTGAGCACTGAAGCAGCAGCATAGTCCTCATTTTAGTGCAACTAATAAAGACCTGGCCAGTGGCAGCTGCTACACCTTCAGCATTTACTGCTCTTCAACTTGGGTAGTAACTGTGACTGTAACACAAAGGCAACAGGCCACCTGTGGTTAATAGGAAGAAGGTGAATTGAGTTGTGGAACTAAACATTCAAATCCAGAAATGAGGAATTTAATCTGAAGGTGCTTAGGAGCTTTGAGAGCAGGTGGCTTAAGGAACCTCATTAAAATCCAGCAACTAGGTCAAGATGGTGCAGAATTTAGGCAGACAGGCTGCAAATAGAGAGTGTGTGTTTAAGACTGAACCTCCTCACAACTGCCTTCCTCAGGTAACTTCCATTACAGACTTGCACTTCTGTCAGGAGAGAACAATTTTACAAAGCAAACCAGCACAGAAACCAGTAACTCGCCTGAGCTGTGCCACACATCTGTCAAGTTACATGATGGCTTAGTAAAAATGTGTCTTTGTAAGGCTGGTTTTTCATAGTGCATTCCTGGGATGCAGTTCAAGGTTCCATATTTTCATTCCACAGCAAAATAAAGCCAAAAACTTCTAATGTCTTCTAACTACTGATACGGAGTACAGACACTCAGATCTGTTATCATACCTTGTGCTGCAGGAGAAACCCATTACCACTGAGCCATCATTCATTTAGCAACTCCTCAGGCTCATTCAAGACAAAACCTCAGTTTGAACAAGTAGCATTTTCCAACCAAAAATGTTTAATTTACAAGTAAAAAAAAATATTCTGGACTCTTCCTACAGCCCTCACTGAAGTGAGATTCTTACTTTGACAGGAGGCAGGGCATTTGTTGCTTGCAATCCCCAGGTCCTCAGCAACACCAAGGGAGCCAGCCTGGTGGAGTAAAGCCTCTTGAGCAGATCGGTAGCAGCTATCAAGGAGACATTGTGCCTCTGACGTTCTGTCTCAAACTTTAAGAGATGTTTTAAGGAGCCTGGAAGAGATAATGGAATGCTCCTATTAAAAGTGCCACAAAAACCCGTGCGTTTTATCTGTATAGCCGTCTCCACAGACAACTGAAAACACAGAAATGGTCCATCTTGATAAAGGCCTCCTTCCATCAGCTAGTGCTCTTCCTCTCACCACCTCCTTAGCTACCACCCTGCAAAGCTGCTTTTTTTTTAAAAGCAGCTTTGAGGTTTGCAGAATGGGAACTGCATCCAAGAATCTAACTGCTCCCACAGCCAATGGACAGCAGAAGAGGTTTGCTTCAAAGATGCTTGTGCCTTTCAAACACAAGAAAGCAGGACGCTTCACCTGCAGCAGAGGCCTGTAAGGCTAATCGTCTTATTGCCACTTCACTGTCTTGGGTCCTTACCCAGATCGCTCCCATTGAAGGCTGCTGCACTGAGGTGATGAGCCAGACATGCAATATCACCAAAGCCCAGGTTCACACCTTGTCCTGCAAGTGGATGGACTCTGTGCGCTGCATCCCTGGAGCAAGAGAAGGCAGAAACTTATCTCCCTTCTTGAAGAAAGCCATAATGGCTGACAAACCCCCGAAGGGATCCGTGTAGCACTCCTCACCTCTTTGCAATGAACACCACCTTACAGCAGCACATACACTTTCTCCAGTACCTCCTTGCATGCTATGCTGAACTACCTGACTGCCTCTCCAGTTGTAAGAAGCAAGACAAAGGGGAGATTACAAAAAGCAGTTCTGAAAGGAAAATTATAAAGAGGTGACTAGCCAGAGTCCTCTCTCAGATCACACGTGGAACAGGCCTTAATGCTTTTGTAAGTGACCTCAGCACAACAGGAGCTATATCACTGACACATTTCACAAACAGAAAGTAGGCAGACATTGTGAATACAAAGGAGAAGTGGGATATCATTGAACAGAAACAAAATCAGGTTATTATGAGCAAACTTGTCCATAAAGGACAAAGCCAGACATACTTAAAAGGGAGTTTTAAATTCAGAGAAATGAAATGGAGTTTGGGCACGAAATGTAAGATCGTGCACTTTAACAAGCTATAAAGCACAGAATGCTCCCCAGCACAAAATGGCTCAGAAGCTGGAAAGATGAAAAAGTATGTGAAGTGTAATACAGCATCCAAGAATTACTATCAGCTACCAGTGTACTGCAGCTGAGGCAGAGAAAAAAGTGCATCCAACCTCAGAATGTAAAAGATGAGATGTCTTCCTATTTCTATAGGCCACACTGTACAAAAGCCTGTAACATTCCACCTGAAATAATTTCTAAGTTTTGTCATTTGTGTTCGAGAAGGGTGAGTTTAAAACTCAAACTGGTACACAGGATGGCTGCTACAATGTTTGGGGAAGTACTGGTCCAGCATGAGATACTGGATCGTCGTTCCGGACTACACAAACCAGAAAAGGGAAAAAATTATCTCACAATTTACACAGAAAGCACACACAATGGACAGAGAGCTACTCATACAAAAGGACAGCGTTGGCACAAGAGCACACGATACAAACTGGGCCTGGAGAAAGTCAAACTGAAACTATAAATCATTTCTAACCGTCTAATTTGCTGACTGGGAGTCGCTATGCTCACATCATTTCTAACCACAGGCCACCCACTCAGACGAGGGCTCCCGTTGGGGACCTTACCCAATAAGAGCCACGCGGTGCTGGACGTACTCTGTCGCGTGCCCCATTCCAAGAGGGAACATGGCTCGGCTCCCTGGATCCACCTCAGCAACGCTCGGGGGCAGCTGGCGGACTGCAGTCCCCGAGGGTTTCAGGAGTGAAAGAGCAGATCGAAACATGGCCCCAGCGGTATCAATGAAGTCAGAGTGGTTTACATTGCTCCACTGAAAAAACAAACAAATCTTTAGATGTCGACCTAAACTAGACATATAAAAGAATCCCGTTGACAAACATCTGAATGAGCTCAAAATAGCGAGTTTTAACCATGTGGATAAAACTACACAACACAAGAAAATGAAACTATCTCCATCATTTTAGGACACGAGTTTCCAGAAAGGATGAGCCTACCCTTCCCACCTTTTGAAAATTCAGTTCAACTTCTGTGACTTTCAGAACTAATCTAATTCAGTCCTAAGGGGTCATCCTTTCTTTGCTAAGTGCCTTTTTTAATATCATCCTCACCAGAGAATTCACTTCTCCCATTACTATCCCTGAAGCTGTAGGATTCCACTGTATTTCTCATAATTACAACAAAGTCAGCCTCACAACCGACACAAAGCTGATACTCACAAAGGCAGAGTTGATGCTATCCACAAAACTTTCCTCATCCATAGTGAGAAGTTCCGAAGCATGTTCATGAGATGTAGACCAGACCAGAGAGCTGAGAGTGTCAGACAGCTAGTTTAAGAGAATGTCAGGGGTAAGCATCATCAAAAGAAAAAGCAGCAAAAATAAACCATCAGTGCAAAGATTTTCCCACTGCCCTGCCTCACACCAGCCCCTCTGCACTTTACTATTCCAACCCAACTTGCTACAAGTGGGAAATGCCAAGGGTAAAGTGAGAGGACAGGATGGGAAAACAAACGCAGTGACTGAAAAAGTAAAAGGCAGATGGACAAATTCTTAAGAGACAGAACCAACGCAGAAAGGCACAGCCAGAAATAAAGTTATAAGAAAAGAACAGACTAAAAATAAATAAATAAATAAAATACAGAGACCACGAGTCACCTTACCGGAAGAAGCGCAATTGGCCCTGTGGGAAGGAACCTCTGCCATGCCACGTTATTGTCAGTGGCCTACGGTGGAAAGAAGCAAGTGGACAGTTACAAACTAGTGACCTGCATCACCTGCTTAAGCTGTTCTGCCGCTTACGGAAGAGTCAATTATCAGAATTTCACCTCAGACAAATGAAGAGTTGCCACCACAGCTGACTGGTCGTATCGATGCTCAATGTTCTTAATTTCAGCTTCCTTCCGGACTACAGAGTTATGACCATCCGCACCAATCTGCAAAACAAAGAGATACAAAGCAACCTCGTCTGCAGCTCCTAAAAAAAGCCAACACTCCAGTCTACAAACCTCAGCCTGCACGTACAGAGTTTTTGTTTATTCAGCTTAAACCCCACCCCAAACAACAGATTCCCAAAATCTCAGAAGAGGTGGCCCCTTCTGCACTTGTCCAATTCAGCACCGTCTTCTTGCGTCGGGTACAGAAAAGGCTACGCACCGTTTCCCACAGCACCTCTGACAGTTGGGCACTCACCTCACTCAAGCCCTCCACGTGGGTGGAGCGGCACACACGGAATCAGAACCAAATCCAGTGGAAAGGACTTGGGTGAGAGATGACGCCTGATCAACAGAAATAAAAAGTTAGTTACCAGCAGTTTGGTCTGAAGTCTGCGTCCATCAGCTAACTCAATTTGGACCCAAGGGCTTGTGTCACAGCTGTGAGAGGGAAGGGGCCAGGTATACCCGACTGCTCTGCTCCCGTAGAAAACCTCCACCCGGTCTGATGGGAACACAAAGTACCGTGGTCACAGCATGATACAGACATGAAAAAAGGAAACATCACTACAGCAGCAAAGGCCACACATGTCTTAATGGCACCGTAAGAGCTGACCCTACAATTCTCACAGCACCCTGAAAGAACAGATCTGGCTAACCCTTTGCTACTGCAAGGCCTGCTCTGGACAGAAAGCTACAAAACTTTTCATTAAGTCTATTTTTGGAGAGACTACGTTCTAGAGAACTACACATGCCACTGCTTTCTTGCTGTGTAGCCTTTGGAAGACAGACTTCTCCCTCCCCCCCCCCAGTTTAAGAAGCTGCCTGTGTCTCAGAGTTACTTGCTAGATGAATTACCTTTCTCCCTCTCGTAACTTAACGCACACAACAGAAGGCAAGCAACTAAAAGCTCTCTGCAGGAAATAAAATATTAAAGAAGTTGTCCACTACCTGCTACTGCATCTAACTGTTTTGTGAGAGCAGACATAATGACATCATTCTCCACTATGTAACCCATGTCATCTAAGTCATCTTTCTCAAAAACGATCATGGCTTCTGAACAAGCATCCCACACCTACAAAATAAAAATACATTACATGAAGCTACATAACAAAGAAGTGCTGTTCCTTACAGGGACTATGAATGTATCCATCTTAACAGGAAAAGGACACGGCAACCTGGAAACACAGAACTAGGGGAAACGTCCAGGATTACTGTCCATTCTCAGCTACTAAAGCACATCACGTAATTCCTTTCATACAGTGATCTAGCTTCATCTCAAAACTAACTGTGAAGAAAGTTTTTTAGCCCTGCTTTCCTGTTACATGATTGACATATAAAGCTACCCTACGACCTTGCGGTTTAACCCCAGCAGGCAGCTCAGCACCACACAGCCACTCACTCCCCCGCAGTGGGATGGGGAGAGAATGGAAAGGGTAAAAGTGCAAAAACTTGTGGGTTGATATAAAGACAGGTTAATAGGTAAAGCAAAAGCCGCACGTGCAAGCAAAGCAAAACAAGGGATTCATTCACCACTCCCCACGGGCAGGCGGGTGCTCAGCCATCCCCATCACATCTAACAGTCACTTGGGAAGACAAACGGCGTCACTCCGAACGCCCCCCCCTCCCCTTCCTTCTGCTTCCCCCAGGTTTATACGCTGAGCATGATGCCATATGACATGGGATATCCCTTTGGTCAGCTGGGATCAGCTGTCCTGGCTGTGTCCCCTCCCAGCTTCTTGGTGGGAGTGGGGCGAGAAGCAGAAAAGGCCTTGGCCTGTGCAGGCCCTGCTCAGCAACAGCCAGTGCATGCCTGTGTTATCAGCAGCTTTCATCACAAATCCAAAATACAGCCCCATACAAGCTACTATGAAGAAAATTATCTATCCCAGCCAAACCCAATACAAACCTTTACCTTTATTTCCTGACTAGCACCCATGCCTCGATATCTACAGCTTCCCTTAGCAATCGACCTTTCATCCTGTAACATCAAGACCCTGAGGATGGGTATTTCCCAGTAGATTGCTACCCCAAAAAAAGTAACGGGCATCATCGTAAGCATGACCTGCCCTTTGCCAAAGAAAACTTTGGAGCGTTAATGTAAGAACTTCTGAGAATCCAAAGTAGACGGACACATAGTATATTTGCAGCCCTAAGTAAGGCACCTGCATTCGGTGGAACGGTTTGAGTCTCAGGCTGCAGACACGATCCCAGGCACCAAAACCTGAAAGAGAAAAAGGACACAAATGCACGGAGATAGCGGTTGACATGTGACATTGAGACCCAACCAAAACTGAAGCTCACTCCACGCTCTCCTCCTCCTTCCCCGACTATCAATGCCCAGACTCTGCTTGCACCATCCCCAGGCAGGGCCAGGTCTGCCTTGGTACTTTCACAGCTCCAGCATTCCATTATCTAACTGTTAACACAACCCAGTGGAAAAGAAACAAGAGCTTCCCATGAAGCTGTTACTTAACAGTCACCTGTCCCTGTCCTATCACTGAGTAATACAACAGACATGGAAACCCATGGCCATCACAGTTTACAACATTTCTTTCTCCATAAGGAATCGAGGCTCAAATCTCTCTTTAAAATGAAAATTAATCAGAAGCGTTACCAGACTACAGAGCACTAAGTGCTTCTTTTGTGAACAGAACATTCCAGATGCTGCAGAGAGCACCTTACAACATTTCACTAGCCTAATGTCACAAATATTTATATAACAAATCAGGCCAAGATACCAGAACACAGATCCCTGCTGTCAAGAGAAGCCTGATTTAATCACCACATTTCAGCATACACAATACTAAGAGAAAAAAGGCAAATTATTCTGTTGAGTTTAGAATGAAGGCAGCACATGCTCAAAGAGGCTTTGTTTAAACAACGTAAAACCAGCTCAAATATACAGTTAAAAGTGCAAACAATAGAAATCATACTTACTGCTTAGGAGGGTTGCTGATCCTGGGGAGATGGAACTGACCCTGTTACTGTAACTGTCTGGCATGTGATCATATTCTTTCCTAGGACCAGCTTCCAGCAAAGCAATCTTCTTATCATGGAAGTGAATATCATGCCCTACAATAAGCAAATATATGCTCTGTACAATGCTCCTGACAGAATCTCATTTCTTATTTCTGTATCAGTAACACCCATGCATTTCTGTAATAAGACAGAGTTAATGCAAAACTTAATAAAGAAATGCATTTACGATCGAGGTTCTGACCAGGCACGTAAACTTTTGTATTTTAAAGCTTTATGACTACAATCCTGTTACTGAGATGGACAACCCTTTTGCAGTTTAAGCAAAGAGTATATGTTTTCTTTTTGTACAAAGTTTACATTTTTGTACAAATTTGTGCCTATTTTGTTCTGAAAGTTAATTACTGAAGTATTAATGAGTGAAATATGCAGTGTTTACTCCACACACAGAACACATTTTTTGGAGCTTAAACATAAATTCACCTGTTCAAATGAGAGATCAAAATAAAACTGCTATGGTATTTAGCCACTACGTTAAATGTTTTCTTTATCCTTATATTCTGACAGTGGAAGCGCACAGGCAGTTTAGACTCTGAGGTAAAGAGAACTGAAAAATGAAGAGATGACTCAAGAGTAAATCAGACTACAGCTGAATTAGCCTTCCTTGTTTCACCTGACCGCTACATTTGCGGAAGGTACTGAGACCAGAAATGGTGTCCTTACAACATCCAGCGTTTACTCCTTCGGCAGTCCTAATAGCAGCTGCATCCTGAACACATTTTCTACATTAGGCATAACATAACCTCATCTCTTGGAAGGTCCTAAACCTGCACGTTAGCCTTAGATATCACTGCTGGGGGGGATCCTTATGCTGTCTCAATTCCACTGTGGTCTTGTGTAACAATCCAAACAGAACAATTATAAGTTTGCAAAGTAAACCCTTATACTTGCCAAGGACTTATTGCTTAGGATGTTTGCTCTTTTGCTCTTCTTTAGGCTTCTGTCACTGTGACACCCTTCTGAATCAACGTTGCAAATAAAGAAGCAGCCAGTACTCTCAGGATCTCTAGTGATACAAACCATGCACAAATCCATCTTGGTATTCCAGTGTGTAAAATACAGGGTTAGAGAATGGAGCTTCAGATCAGAAAAGTATTTTCAGCTACGGCTGAAATTACCCACCAGCGACTGAAGGGTGACTGTGTTTGACAGAGACACTACAAGTAGTCTACAGAATTCAAAGTAACGGCTACATTAACATATATTTATGCATAAATAGGACAAGGCTCTTCATAACGATCAGCCAACCAAACAACTTTAAGCCAACTTCAGGGTGCCGCCACAAGAGGATGAAGGAATAGGGAAATTCCACAAGAGGATCTTGATAAATAAGAAGCTAAACGGTAACACACAGTTATCTCCTTTGTCTGAAGTCCGCTTATAAAAGCACCCGTCACCACACACATCGAACCACGAAGGTTTTGGGAAAGCTCCCAGCTTGAAGTTTTTCGTGGAAACGGGCGGGACCCAAGGCCCGCGACTCTCTGAGCTGGCGGAGCACACGGTGCGGGGACCGCAGGGAGGGGAGAGGCGGGAGGTGACGGCCTTACCCAGCGCGGCGGCCATGGCGCTCCCAACCATTCCCCCGCCCGACACCACCACATCGTAGAGCGGCGCGGCAGCGGAGGCGGCAGCAGCGGCAGCAGCAGCAGCAGACCGGAGCGGAGCCCGGAGCGGAGCCCGGAGCGGAGCCCGCGGGCCGGCCTGCAGCCGCCCGCCCAGCCGAGCCAGCAGCCCCCGGCCGCCCCCGGCCGCCATCGCTGCGGAAGTGACGTCAGAGCGGAAGTCGCTCTGGGGAACCATGACAACGCAACCTGCCTGGGGTCGCACCGCTTCCCGAGCACCAATGAGCGAGCGGCGGGTGTGGTCCCGTCTTGGAATCTGATTGGCTGTTTGGGACAAGAAGGCGGGCCTAGAGCGCTGCCGGCTTCGCTGATTGGCGGGAGCGGGGACCGGCGGGCTGAGGCGGCGGCCGGCAGGTGAGGGCCGCGCCGGGGCCGGGCCTGGAGGTTGGGGCCGCGGCCCCGAAACGAGCAGTTCTCGGTCTTTTTTTCTTTTTCTTCCAGGTGACACGGCATCCCCTCAGGCTCTAACGGATCAACTCCCGCGTCTCCCGCCAGCCGCTCGGGATGGGAGGCCGGCGGTCTCCGTTAGAACCGGGCTCACCGTACCAGGCGGCGTTAAGGGGCGACCTCGGGGTATCCGAGGAGGATGAGGAGCTCGAGGGTTTCAGGCGGGAGGCGGCAGTCCTGTGTGACAAGCTGTGGGAGGCTCTCAGGTAGGACGGTACCTGGTAAGGATGGTAGAATGGCGTGTGGGATTCCTGCTGCTCCTGACCACTGCCGAGGTGGAGCGTGAAGCCCCGAGATGCACGGATATAGTACCAAAACGGTGCCTACAGATGTGCTCACGGGTGGGAGGATGGGGCCAACAGGGGCCCACATAAACTGCATTCACATAAAACATGAACAGCACACATCCCGTTCCTGCCCATCACCCAATCATGCTTAAAATCTGCTGGACGCTCACACAGGTTTCTATCCAGCATCCAGTCTGCAGAGCTGAGGCCTCGCCAACACCTAGCTCTCAGACCTCCTGTCTCTCTCTGTGCCTTGTCCAGCTTGAAGTTCACTAGCAGATCACACACACACACTCTTACAAAGGAAATAGTTTATGAAGAACGGACTGCACCAATCACCAGGCGAGTGTAATGAATAGGAAGCCTCTTTACATGTCATTGCCACCTTCAGTTTCCCCCCTTTTTTCCATTTTCCTGTTCTTGGTCCATCCTGATCCCTCCTTTTACCTGCATTTATTCTTTCCCTAAATGTAAGTTTTACTCAGTTTCACAATCGCCCTCAAACATCTATGAGAAGTTTGCTATTGCAATGAGCCCCATGATAGTCTTGGGGTTTTTTCTTACTATCATTTTTATGGTCTTCTTATCAGCTACAAAGCTTCCAGCTGTTAAGAGTTGCACTAAAGCAGTTCCTTGCAATGGCCCTTCATTCAGGGTCTTAGGAATGCTGGTGTTTGGTACTGCTTGTTAGGATTTGTGCATCTGTACGCCTCGTTTGTTGCCCCTCCTGAGTTTGTCTCTTATGGTGAGTAGCTATCAGCCAGATATCCATAAGGTTGGAACTTTCTGGCTTACTTGTGGGCTTTCTGGCAATAGAGTGCTAGCAGCATAATAAATTGCATTTCAAAGCCAGGGAGGCATAACCACCATTTCATACATGGAAAATGGAAAACAAGCAAAACTCTGCTCACGAACTTTAGTAGCAAAGCAAAACACCGAGCTTGAGAACAATAAGCTCTAGGCCTGCCTTTTAAGGACCAACTTAGCCTACCATGTCTTCCTCTGAATCAACAGCGTCTCCCTTTTTTTAACTCTGTTGTTTGATAATTTCACTTATTTCCCCTTCATAATGTCTTTGTCTTAGTCATACATCTGGTAACAAAAGGCAGTCCAGTTCTTTGATCAACCTCACCTCGGACAGTGCCTGGGATCAGCAAAAGCCTTACTTGTTTCCTAAATCCTGCTTGAGGCCAAAAAGTGCTTCCTCTCCCTGGATTCCTTCCATCACCATCCCTCAGCCTTTCAAAATGACGCTGCGGGAAGCTCGCAAAAAGTCCCAGTTGATGAAGTCATACATGTTTCTTGAACTAGACAAACAGAGAGACAAAAGGCAAAGCCAGGATGAAGCTGAATGTCAGAAACAATTCCGGGCACAGCCTGTACCTGCCCATGTGTTTCTGCCCCTTTATCAGGAAATAATGGAGCAGAATGAGACTCGCAGGCAAATAGCAACACAGAAAAGAAAGGAGCTGCTACTTTCAACCCAGCGGCCCTTCAGTTTCCTGGAGAAGGAGGAGAAAAAGAAAGAAGCTATCAGACAAAAGTTCCTGGCAGCAGCAACCCCAAATGAGAACTCCAAACAGAAGCAAGCCAGTAAAAAAGTTCCTAAATCTACTTATGACCCACTTGGAGATAAACTCAAAGGTAAAATACCAGGGCTCTTCCTGTAAAAACAACTCCCTGCCTGTCCCTCACAGTCTCCATGCTGGGAGGCAGGATCATGGCCTATAGGGCATTACTTGGAGTGGAAAGCCAATACCATTATATCCCCTGGGGTTGTCTAGCCTCCTGCATATCACTGGTCATTACATTTCATTACCCTTATAGTATAGTGTCCTAAATTTAGTATTCTTGTATCAGTGTCAGCAGCAGCAGTTCTGTACTGCTCCCCAGCACACATGGGTACACTGAGCTTTTCAGACAGATTTCCATGCCCCTTTTGCTGCAGATCGTGACAATTTGGGAATCCTTCCCTGCACTGGATCCCGTACCTTTGCTTATGCTAAAGGGACTCAGATGATTTGTGGCACAAATGTGAAGACAGATGTAGTGCCAGAAGTGTCCAAGCTCCATGCAGTATCTTAGAACTGACAATTTTACTCCCACCCAAGTGATCTATGGTGCACAAAGCCCCTAGGAGAAAAATATTTCCTGAGCCCAAATCAGGCAATTGGTTCAGTTCTAAGTGATAGTGCAGTAGTCCAGTCCCTCCTGCCATTCTCTCATATTTCCAGTTATCTTCCCGCTTGCTCTCCACCTTCTTAAGTGCTAAAACAGGGGAGGTAGGTGCCAGGACCCTTCTAGTCAGAGGGGCAGCCAAGGAAATTTTCCTGATGCTTGCTTGCTTTTAGATGGCTTAAGCCGCCACAATTCTAAGTTTGAAGTAAGCAATGTAGACTTCATGCTTGAATATAGGAACTAAGCCAGTCCTTGCTAATTCTCATTGCTTTTCTAACCTCTTTTTTTTTTAGCTGTTTCCCACTGATTTCTTCTTATGTATACAGCAGTTCAGTTTTCATCAGAAAACATTCTGTTGTGGTGTACTAAACTACATAGATTAGAAAGGTAAAAGAGAGCGATGGACAAACCACTGTTCTGTTTCTACCTGGCATATGAGAAGGGAGGAAAAATAAACATTTCATACCTCAGTCAATGCAAACTTATAAATAGACTCTAAAAAAGGTCTTATTTTGCAAACAGCAGTATTGATTTTTTTTTCTAAAAGCAGAAAACCAACCCACAGCCAACTGTTTGTCTGCATTTTCACAAATATTTAGTGCTGCACAGGAAAGGACTCAGTTTGATGCTATACCCTGAAACACATTCTTTCTATGGAAAGTTTGTCACAGAAGTCACAAGATGTGATCCATCCACCAAGTGCTCCTTACTTAAAATCTTTTCCAATATAGACAAATGCTGCTGGACATTACATAGATAAGCCACCATCCGTTACAAGTATATGTGAACAGCCCATTTGGATCACACAGTCAACGTAATGACATGAAGTCCCATATGAAAAGTAAAACCTTGATTAACACAACACTTCTGCAAGACAAAGGGCACAAGTTACCTGGTACCCCTAAGGATAGGAATAGGAGAAGGCCTGTTCAGTAACTTACTCTGATAAGCGAAAGAGAGATCTAGAGGCTAATGCCTAAGAGACTCTACCATGTTTTTTCTGGTATCTTTGATTTTTTTTTTCCTGGGAGACAGAGGAGAGAGAGGCTGGAAAGTGGGGAAAGAGAACATAGGATGTCTGGTCTCTCCTGTGTTTGTAGCTGCCATTATAAAGAAAAGTTTAGAGTTGTGCAGTGACAATTTCAGAGCCTTTTACATCACTCATATTCTTCTCATTACTTTGCTTTTGTTTCATCAGAGGCTGAACTCTACAGAGAAATCCGTATTCAAATGAGAGCAAAGGATCTGCTTGAGAGCTCCGTAGCTCCTATAGATACCAGCAACTGTCGGAGAGAGCCTCAGTCCCGAGCTGCCAATAAAACTAAGCAAGAAAGACTTGGCTTCTTGCAGGATAAAACTTTCAGCTTCAAGCCAAGGATTAATCCAACAATACCGGATTTTGAAGGACTTTACTGGGCATTTCAGAGGGAAGCAGTAAGGAGACAAGAAATCAAAGAGGCAACTCGTAATAAGCCATTCAAGTTAAGAACCTCCAATCTCCATGGCAGGCAGAGGCAGGCTAATGAAAGGTTAAAGGTGAGATGACTGGATATTTCTGTGGTACTGCTTTCTCTGATCAAGATGGCAACTTCTTAAATGTATAGCATTTATTTACAGATGGTTAATATCCTGTGACCTCTGCCCTTGTCTTGGGAGCACTGCAGAGTTCTAGCACAAACCAGAGGACAAAATTCTACACAAAGAGATGAGTTATGACAGCTAAGACTCAACCACCCTTCTATACCCCTAATCACGCCTCCTTCTCCTCATGCATCAGCCCCTCCCCATGTAAATCCCCACTGATGGAGGAGAGGAGAATGAGTGCATTGCCCACATACCCCAACTGTTCTCTTCAGTAGACAAAGAACCAGGGAGATTCTGTACTGTGAACAAATACACTGAATGAAGTTCTATTTCTTTCAGGATTCTCAGCAACTTTCCAAGGTTTCAGTGCAAAAAAGTCATTCTCTGACCGGACTTTCCTCTCTCTCTTCCAACACCCTTCCAGTGCATATTACAGATGCAACTAGAAAAAGGGAATCTGCTATTAGGTAAGTAGAAAAATTTGTCTACAAGACTATACACCAGCTAATGACCAAAATGGAGGAATAAAAGTCAGTGTTTTCCCTCATCACAACTACATCAACAATACTTTTCCTAAATGTTTCTCTGTCTTCTTTCTTTGTTAATTCTTGCCCAGCCTCCCAGTTGATTTGGCAGCTGCACACTCATATGTCTGAAGTTTTGCTTTTCTCCTTAAAGGACTATAAAACTGAAATTCCCTGCTAGCATGTAGTCTGGCAGTCTTAAGTGAGCTCATTAGTAAATTCTTCTATGTAGGAACTCCCAAGATAACAAAAAGGAAGGGGACAAAGAAGGAAGTTATTGGCTGGAGAAACAGAAAAAGAAATGTCAAGCTATCCGAAAGTCAGTGAACAGCCGAGCAAAAGCCCTGGATCCCCATAAAAGCCTGGAGGAAACACACAAGGAGAAGTCGAAACAGAACTGGTCAGTATGCTATTCTGCACAGAAATAACCGTTTGCTCTGCTAACTGGGGATCATAGATAATTCTTTAGGAGGAATGGGGTCTAAGAACATTCCTAGCCTCTTTTTTGGCCGTCAAACCCATTCCACGTTAATTTGGATTTCTTGACAACTTCGCACTACTCTTTCCATACAGAAGTTTCCTGTAGATTAACATTTGTAGAAACTAATTTGTACAAACAAGCCACCTGAAATGTATAATTTCGTAAAGAACACACAAGACAAGATTTTTTAAAAATGTGAACACTGGTTGTCTGCTTATAGTCTAGTAGTAAAGTGTTGCTACCATAGCTTGCCAGCAATAGGATTTCTTTTGCCCAGCATTTGGAATCAAGAGATTTACCAGAGCTCTTTGAAGAACCAAACAGTTATTGATAATTCCTCATTCCTGATAAACTGTAGTCAGACAGAACCTGTATTAGACAGGCAACTTTTCCATTTCAGGCAAAATATGAGAGAGAGAATGAAGGAATACAGAAAGGAGCTGGAAGAAATGCAGCTGCGAGTCAAGAACAGACCATATCTCTTTGAACAGGTCACCAAGGTAACTGGTCAAAGTTCCACTGTTTCTGGGTGACAGGGTACATTGCCTTTCATTTAAGACAGGCATTAAGAAATCTAGTCTCAAGTTAATTCACGGATGAGAAGGTGCAAATGGTTCCATGGTCTCTTGACTATGCTAAAAATAACATATGGAAGGGCCACCCAAGTATAATTTAAATTCCTTCCCACTGCTTGAAAAACTACTCAGACTTATTTCTTGATTATAGAGCTTTCCAGTGCCTAGTGTATATTGCAATCAAAATATACGGTCTGATCAGAACCAAAGTCTTATCACACCAGAAATTATATGAATACCTATTCTGCACCTGAATACCATAGCCTACAATCTAAAAATTCTAAAGTTTTTTCTTAAAACCCTCTCCAGTTGAGCACTTTTTCTTTGTTCTTATAATGCTACTAGAAAAACACTGACAGTTACGTCACTTTTATCACCCTCAAGCTCTGCTATCTGGGGTTGTGTTCAACACATCTCATCCATCACACAGTACCAGCTGCAAATCTGTATTGCCCTTGAGGTGTAGATAGAGTCTTTACTCTCCGTAAAGTATCTTTTTCTCTGGGTTTTCTCTTTCAGTTCTTGTCTCCTTGCAGGGATATCTGGTTAGAGACACAGTGACAGTGCACTGACAGTATGCTGATTTAAGATTTCTCAACAGAAAGTACCCTCCTGGGTCAGACTTTCTGTTCAGATGAGTGGTTAATGGAGGCAGAAAACACATTTGTATGATAAATATTGGTGACATTTCTGTTTACCAGGTTGGTAAGAATTCACCAGTATCAATAGCATTCAGTCATGTTGAGACAAGATTTCTATCCTTCCATATAGAACACCTTAATCTTTAGGAACTGGCCAGTCCCACTGGAAAACTGTCATCTTGGATTACATTAATTTGCAAGGTTTACTTGGAGGCAGCAAGGATATAGGATCCAGGATGCTTGGTGTTCAGTTTCGTGAAGATGAGCTGATATGAAGCTATTTCACAGGTGCTCTCCATTTACTGAACTCCACTGTTGTTAGTGCTTACCAACTACGAGCAAACATGCTTCCAGAATTTCTCACAACCCTGTTTTGTACATACTCTTAATTTGAGTGCCAGTCAGGACTTGGACACAAGTCTGCTAGTCTGGTAAGACTGGAATGCTGTAGAAGCAGGAGAACATAAGAAGGAAGAAAAAAAAAGAAAAGGTGAGCTCTGGCTTTGAGAGATGTGAGCCGTTGTCCTAGTATTCAGTTTTGGTACTGTACTGTACTGTATGAATGAGAAAAAGTTTGGACAGGGGCTTTGCTCTCCTCTTGTTCTCATTAGGAGTGTCAGCCGTGAATTTTAAAACAACTTGACTGTTATGGGGAAGCCCCCATTCTACATGCTTACTGTTTAAGTTTCGATTTCATAGCACGATGCTCGTCAGGGAGCAGAGCGTCGCTACAGATACACCCTCCAGCAGGTTGGGCTAAGTGAAGAATTTGTAAGGATAAAAGGGAAAGATACCACTGACTTGCTGGAAGAAGAATCTGACGTTCACAGGTAATAAAACCAATGCAATACAACTCTTTTGCCTTTGACTAAAAATATTTTCCTTGTTCATGAAAGCACTCCGGTTCGTATCAGCTAGCGTAGGCAAAATTAAATCAGCTTCACTCCTCTTATTAAGCATCATGGCTTCTCCGTCTTAACTCCTATGACTGCGCTCTATTTCTTGTGCATGGGGCAAAGCAGCAAGTAAGCAATGCAAACCCTTTCTGGTGTTAGACAATCGCTATTTCTGCAGAGCGCCCAAGCCTCGGGGTGAAAAGGCTGACTGTACTGTACAGGAAGGAGAACCTCAAGAGGAGCAGAGTGGAAAGGAAATGGCAACCTAAGATCTAGCAGAAGAATCCCTCAGTCATCTCTTGATTTTTTTAATTCAAGATCCACCAGGTTAATCCTCAGGAACTTTATGGTTTAGGTTGACACCTAAGAATTTCTCTGGGATAAGTGAGATGGAAGAACATAGTAAAGGAAAAAAAGACCAACTGTTGTTTAGAGCATGTCTTGTTCAACCCAGCAAAGCCTGCGGCCTCCCTTAGTCTTCACAGGCATTCCTTGTATGAGCCGTTTTCCTTCCTTTAAAGAGCAACAAAACAAGTTAAAAGGATTGAAGCACTATCTTTGGATAAAAGTAGATATGAAAGATTGAAGAGGTGCATCCTCTCGTATCAGCTCCTTGTGTTCATGCCACAGAAGCACACAGAAAGGGGAGAATGCCTTCCAGTGTGCTAAACCTTGGTTTACACATGTATGTGGTAGAATGCTTTTCAACAAGGTATTTCTAAAAAAAAAACAAATAACAGAATTGGATCTACCTTGGGAGAAGACTCAGAGGGAAGTCCTTCTCTGAGGTTAACTCTTCATTCACTCATTACCAGCTTTGCTCCTTCCTCCCATTAGAAAGAAGCAGCAGTCTTAAAATCTCCCATATTTCATTATTTGAAACTCTTTTAACATCTTACCAATTTAAGTCATTAATTAGGACTGAGAAACAACCAAAATTATGAAGACTGTTGTAATTAAACAATGGATCACTTTGGACTGCCGTTGTCCTAATTCTACTATTACTGTGATATCAAAGATGGATTTTACTGGAAGAAAGATCAGGTATTACCTGTCAGCATGTTGCACTCAAATGCCTGGAACATCTTGAATGGTATAGTTCACACATTAGTGGTCTTCCTTTACCTGACAGTAATAACAATCTCAAAAATACACACCCTTGCCACCTGGAATGTTTTCTGAGAATTATGATATCAAAGCACTTTGAGATTAAAAGATTTTTAAATGGCTACCATGTTTCTGCATTGTCCAATTTCTTTATCATTCATCTTTTCCTTTTTTTAAATACAAACTGGGTCTCTTTTCATCTTCGTCACCTCAATCCACTTCTCCTTACACTGACTAACAACAAAACCTCTTCAAGAAATCAGATATACAGTACCTATAAGAGCTACCACATTCTATAAAGATAGGAAAGTGAGATAATGACATTTTTAAACACAAAGAAGTACTAGATCCAGGACTTTCTGGCCCTGGGGTTTCAGGCTGCTGTGTTACACTTCCGCAGAGGTCAGTACGTAGCTAAATGCCCTGGGTGGCCACAGTCCTCCCGATGGACTCCTGATCTCCACACTGAGAGGAGGCTTTAGCACCTGGGAGGGTTCAAGGAAGGCCATTACCAGTGCACCAGTATCTGCATAGGTTTAATTGTGTGGGGCATATAGAGGCTCTTCTTTCTCCTGTATCCCCTGGAAAAGAGCACTGATGTAATCATATTGTCACCATGCCTGGTCACATTGAAAGAGGAAGGAAAGAAGATTTCTTCCATGTTCCAAGTCTGTGGTCTTGTATGGATCTATCATTGGGTTTGTATGAATATACAAATACTAAGGTGAGATGCATGAATACAGTAACAAATAAATTCAAGTCTTAATATTGGTCCCTGAACAGAAATTGCTGAAACGGTGATGAAAGTAAAAGCATCAAAGTAACTGAAACTCACTAGCATCTTTCTTCCTAAACAACATGTTGTTCTGAAAGTAGGATTACATTTCTGTAATCTTAAGAGATTTGTAATCTCTTAATGTATCTCAAAAATGGTATGGAAATAAAGAATTTCAACTTTTGCTCTGGATTTTTGCATTTTATGAAAATGTTATGTTATTTTTAGTTGAAAGAATTACAGCCTGTTCAGCCAACCTATAAATATACTGTAGTAAAGACGACATCTCACTGGAGCATCTCCCATCATCTCATGAGATAGTAGCCAAACCCACATCACATCCTGATGCACAGGCAAGTGGTGGAGCTTCTGCAAGAACCTCCAAATTACAAAACCTTTACCAACAGAAGCACTACCTTCACATTCAGCTAAGGAGCAATATAAACTCAAAGCATTGCCTTCGCATAGGAGCTATTACAGATACATAGTGTCTTAGCAAAACTCTGCATACTTAATAATGTAAATTCTGAAGAAAGTCTTTAAGTTAACAAAAATAAAAAACATCTGCATGGTAGGCTCATTTAAAGAGTTTGATATACCAAACAAAACTTGGAGGAAAAAGCAACTGGGGAAAGCAGAAAAAGAACACAGCAAATGTAATTAAATGATATCAAGTAGTACATTTATTTCAGATAGTAAGTCAGCTTCTGACAGTGAGATGTATTAGAATATAGTCTCTGAAGGTAAAGGATGGAAGGCAGGCCTGTTGCGCAAGATACTGAATGTCTGTACCGTGCCTAGCACAATGAGGTCCTGGTCCTTAACTGGGGGCTCCTACGTGCCCCAGCAAAACAAACACTTTAGGCTTTAGGAGAATGGACTGCATAAACAGTTTTGAAATGGCGTTCCACAACAAGGGCTAAATGACACCTAAGCAGCAGACTTCACCTTTTAAGCTCTGCAAGAGAGAAACTTGGTCCAGTAGGTCTTCTCCAACTCCAGTTCTATGATTCACTCTCCATCTACCCACCTGCTCTGTGCACAGTTAAAGCAATGTTCACTCATCCCACTGCAGCATGGTGAGCCTCTAGGAATAATGATCGCTCCCACTTCAGTCTCCACATATAAGAGGGCGGAAAAAAGAGCAGCTGGTCTCACCCTCCTCTACTCCAATAATAGACTCAGTGTCTGGCAGGTGGAGAGACTCAACACCAAGGCTGGGCTGAGAGTTCATGGAGATGAGATTCTTACTATGCACTGTAGATTCTTCCAGCAAACTGCTGCCCATCAGTGACTCTATTGTGAAAAAAAGGGTAAACCAAAGTTCTCATGCTGTAATGATACTGCAATATAAGATACAATCCCTGGCCCCCTTCAAGTACACAGACTTCTTCTTTAGACTCCTACTTTATCCATTCCTACTCTTTGGGCATCTGGCGCTCCAATGGATGGTAGCTCCTACAGTTACTGTTTTGAGCCTCAGTATGGCAGGATCTCATGCAGGCTTGGCTTTCTCTTTAAATAATTCACATTGCATAAAAAAACAGATTGCTTACAACAAGACTACACAACAAAGGGCACAAATTTCATATAAAAAAGATACTAGATTCATGTTAATTTTGAAAACAATAAACCTATCTGCCCCTTGACAACACAGAAATACACCTTTGTCTTCTCTCCTAGAAAAATGGAGCGTAAGTAATCCATCCTCATCTCCAACAGGAACAGTCTTTTGTTCCTTACTGGCTTATGGTCTCATATTTTCAGGACAAACATCTCCCCTTCTCTTTGACCATCCACTAACTCTTCCCTGCACTTCTCCCCCATGAAGTGCCCTCCTTTCCTTACCTGGCTGTTCTCGCTCTCTGCTGCCAGCTGTTCCAATTCGGGAGTGGTGTTTCCTCATATGCACATTTCTGCTACCACTCTGGGAAAATGTCTTCCCACAAATTTGGCATTGATGGGGCTTCACTCCTTGAAGTAGAAGGGGGAGAAAATATCCCAAGAATTACCAAATTGAAAATAAAGACCTTATCAACCAAGAAGCCAATAATACTGTTTTGAAATGGCTGTTGACACCACTGGTGCTAATTATCAGTGAAAAAACAAATGAGAAATATTCTTGTTTACTGGAGAGCAATAAGCTTCTAGAACAGAAGAATTTTAGATACCACTATTGCCAGCTGTTGGAAAACTCAGGTCTGAAGGGTAACAAAGTCTTCAAGTCTGATTTCTGAGACGGAACAAGTTATGTGGAATCTCTTAACTTGGTGAAATGGAAATAGTTGATGTCCCATACCTAGAATAAAATGACCAAAAGCAAGGAAGCACAGGCAAGGAAGCTATGTCCTGCCATCACACAAAAAACTGCAGCATCTGGTTTACATTACTGAGCAGAGACTGGATGATGACCTGTCACCGTGAATGGATTACCATTCCAGAGCAGTCTATAATTTTCACAATACAAGCAGGATGTCCGTACGTGTGAGCACAATAGCTTGGAAGCCAAGGAGACAGGAAAGAAAAAGCGTGGAGAAGTCGGGTAGTCCCAAAAGTTACTACCCCAATAACATCTCCCCTTCCTCAAACATGCCATATTTGTCATGTGCTGATGATATTTAAGATAGATCAAACAAAACAGAAAGCAGAAGCTTTGAAATACTTGTGAAATACACTTTAATCTAATGCTTTGTCTAATTAAGGGTATGTAGTATAAAAAAAATACAAGAAAACCTACCCTACCTGTGGCAGAAGCCCACTCATGAGATTTTAGATTTAAATGGCTTTAATATAGAGGTGCTAGACTCTCCTTTTTAAGTAACAGAATGGCAGCTATGAAACAGATATCCAACTTCATGACATTTAAGAAACAATTTAGAAAATGTAATTTGAATTTAGAAACATAAAATTTAGAAACAGAAACAACAGAAAAGACTGAAGTATACAGGCACCACAAAGGAAGTCATGAAACACTGTGACCAAAAGTCCTGTAGAAACCAAAGGACTTTTCTTAAGGAAATCACAGTCCTACAATAAAGATCTTTTCTCAGACACGTCACAATGTCAGATGAAGACTCTTACCTGAGTGGACAACCAAATGTTTCCGAAGGCTGGAGTATTCAGCAAAAGAGCGACCACATCCCTGTGCCTCACACAGAAAGGGTTTTTCCCCTACAAGGGAAAAGTAAGTTCTTAGATTTTGGGATCACAACTTGATGTGATTGTCCAAGTCCCTGAGAACAGCCTCAAGATCTCTACTCCATTCTCCCTTTTGGCCTTTGATGCAACAAAGTTCAACGGAAATTGTGCATATGCTTCCTAAGGCTTTTACAGCATTCTCTTCATCAGCTTTCAAGAGGAAACACTGGCATTCTTTCTGAAATATTCTTAGGTCATCATTCAATCAGCGCAAAGCAAGGGTCCACTGTTTCTAAATAGATCTTCCAAGTATATAAATACCAAAAGAATAATATAAAAGTACCTGGACTATAATATATCTTCTACATGCAGTTCTTAACAACCAGCTCTCTGCTTGACACACTCCCAGAATACTGCTCTCTTTCTGCCTCTCACTGCCAAAAATCACATTAACTGTATTTCCCTTCATATCAGATTCTATACTTTATTTCAGATCAGGCTGAACTTGCCAAAATCCTGTGGGATGTGTCAGTCATTTATATTTATGTGTGAAGGAGCAGTAATTCATGGCACAATTTGTTCTCACAGGCTGAAATTTGTTATTTTTATATATCTCCACAGCTGGTTTTGTATTTGTCTAAATGATGGTAAATTGGGAAGTGACTAGACTAATGCAATGCAATATAATTAATCTGCTCTAAACACGCTCTTAATAAAGCCTTAAATAAAACTAGAGGTAACTTTTGCCTGCAAAAATCTTACCAAAGAACTCAGTATACCATGTTAAACACTATGATTTCATGTCTCTAACTAGATTACTGTATCAGAGTAACAGCAAGTCCACGGGTGATTAAGCAAGCTATTTTAGCTATTTTATTGTCTAACATATGCACAGCTCTTTGAGAGTAAACTTGGTTTTAAAGTTTCTACTGTGATTTTGCCTTTAGAAGTCTTCTCCCTACAGTTTATTGCTCAACTTCTTATCTACTATACATTCAACAGATCTGAGCAAAAAGGATGAAGTCATCATGTTTGGATTGGTGTTACAAAGCTGAAATACATAGCAGATTCTCAAACACTGATTGTACCTTCTGGCTTGTTATAAATATTTAAAACTTGGAAAGAAGGAAGAAAAACTACCATAGGCAAGAATAACAGCACACAGTTCTATCTATAAGAAACCCTAGCTCTGTTTACACCTGCAGTTTT